AATTATTAATTTCATTGTTATTAATTATACTTGGATTATTAAAGCTGTTAGTAGCAACAAAGTATAGTAATTATTTTTAAATATTTGAAACCTGCAGATGTTGATTTCTCGGCATAACATAATAATTAAAATTTAAAAGAGCGTCAATTGTTGTAACAGGCAACAACCTTTTCCGCTGGCCAAGTTATAATATTAATTGGTAATTACATTATTATAATCATTCTATACTACTTGCTTTTAAAAAATAACTTAATTGCGTTTCAAAGCACAAGCCTATACAAAATAAAAAAATATTATCGAAAGTGAAAGTGTATTAAACATTTCAAACATAGTATTACACAAATAAACACACTTACTAATTTATTATTCCAATGACTTTTTACCAAATATTTTGATCGTACAAAATATTTTACAATTTCTCCGAAACAATATCATGTATGTGTTTAAATTGTTATGTGTTCAAATAATTACAAAAAGTAGAGTTTAAAAGTTAACCATAAAAATTTAAATACAAATATATTAAGTCTACTAAGATAAAACTTTAACCAATTGAAAAGATTTTAGTGTATATAAAAGTATATAAATACATGTTTATTAAAAAAATTTAAAAAACATTTTGAATAAAAATAAACCAAGTTAACCAAAAATAATATTCTTTTAAAATACCCAATTTAAATAACCTTCTTAAAAATTAGAAAATTAAATGGTGATTGATAAGTATTCAAAGCCCAAATTTTAAAGATGAATCAAATTTTACCGAGTATATGTTAAAAGCTTTTGTGGCTTTATAATAAATATAAATTAACACTTATTTAGAACCATTTTCCCGGAAAGTTATTTTTTTACTTTGCACAAATGTTTTAATATGTTTGAACGCTTTGATGAAGTATATAATATGCAGAATTGTATACTCTATTTATGTAAGTATACATAATATAGGAAGCCGGAAGGTACTTACTAAGTAGTACTTAGATACATACATAAGTAAGTATGTGTTTTAAATATAACACATACTCATGCGTTAACCTATATAATATGTAATATTAGCCTAGAGGAAAAACAAAAATTCTCAGACGTTATTGTAACCGTCAATGATGCCGGCATGTGTGGTCCGTTCTTTTACTATACCATTTGCATTTCATGAGAAGGTTGCAGGATGAACACGGGAAAGTATACATACAACAGCGAACTATATCAATAATAATTATAGACTCCGGATTCCGCTTTGTATACATACAACGCACGCGACTGATAAACTGGACCGATCCTGTTCACCGAAAGAATTATTTTGATAATATTATACCCAGTACAGTTTATTTACCGAAACATCCTACCGAATTGTATAGACTACAAGCCGCACTGCCGCCGGGTTTTCGAGACGAGTTGCTAAGGATCCAAAAACCAAACTGTGTATTTATAATGTACATGTGTGTACAACAGTTAACAGTCTCCATTGTATATTTTTCACGTAATAACCATTTTAATCAGTATACAATATTATAAGAGTACACAAATTATATTAATATTAACAAACCAAAAATAACTATATTTTAGAGGCACTGTCTGATTAGTTTTGGTTTTATAAGTAAATTAAATTTGATATTTTTTTATAGTTTAATACGTACAAAATATTCTTTAGCACAGCGATTCAGACAACTGGGACGAAATTATGATATTTTAGATAAACTACAATTATAGTTTATAACTTAAAATTCTCAAAAACTCACTTACATGTACTAATTCTTTTATTGTTTTTATTTTTATAAATGCTCATCAAAATATACCCCAGGCAAACCACTTATCAAAGATTTTTATAAAAACAATATTTTATCCAAAATTTATTTAAACATAAAACTATAATGTGCACATAAGTATAGCAATTCATTATTGATATTTATCTTATATATTAAATTAATACAAACTCAATCATAACTTCTTTTTAAAAATCAGCTTTATTCTGGCAAAAATTGAAATAGCAATTGATTTCTTTGCTATTTGAGAAATGGAACTTAATCCGCGTGTTGTATCGTTTCGAATAAATGTTTTCATATTTCGATGTTTCATAAATTTTAATTTAATCTAGTTGTTTAAAAAAATAATTTTTTATTCTATGATTGTCTAGATCTTGTATTATTGATAAAATTATTGCGCGCAGTCTATACAGGATAACCTTTGTTGGTGGTTTTAATCCTTAACAACTGAATAAATAAAATATATAAATAAAAACACATTTTATATACATATCAAGTCAATCATTTTTTTTTCAATTTAATTATATTGTGAGAACAATAGTAGTAGTTTAGTATGTAGTACAAACAAATGTTATCGTTTCGGTATTATTACTCTATTGAGCAAAATAACAATTTATAACTTTCTATTAATTGCGTTGGAAATTCATTGAAAAAAATATTTGCATGTAATCAAAATGCGAAACCCAATACTCGTGTAAGTTCTTTATAGGAAGTATGAGCTTTATTCCATTTGACCGTTTATAACTTTAAAGTGAATCCAACAAATGATTTCCCAATGGAAAACCGGAAACCCCGAATCAACATCAAACTCCATTATTTCGTATAATTGTTAAATTTATTCTGCTCTCGACACGTACAGTTTTATTTGAATATTCATTTATACCTTATCTTTGTAAATTCCGTTTATATAACATTTCTAATTATATTATCTAATTTTTAACAAATAACAATAATTTATATTATAAAAACACTATTTTTCTTTCACAATAAATATTTTTTGGTAATTTCTAGAGTTTTATAAACTTTTGAAACTTAATTGGTAACGTACATGGTAAATGTTCTAACATTTGTACAAGTTTTAGTAATTAACTAATCTACAGTTATTATTATGTATAGGAAAATTCTATTACACAAAATTACTAGCTTTCACTATGAGATATGTTAGGTATATATAATACATTATGACATAATACTTAATATTACATCGATACAGTAATATTATTACAAATGAAGAAAATGGCTGTCCCGTGAAAATAACACTTATACTACCAAACGTACATTCTCGTAATTATCTTGCATTAACTAAAAACACTTATTTATATTAATATTATTTTTTAATCGCATAACTATTTTAAATACATATTTATATACAAAAATATGGCCACTTGTGGTTAAATAGTGATACAATATGAGAGTTATTTTTTATGAATACAAATCATGATACGTATGACAAAAATAACCAAATTTTGGATTTGACTTAATTTGACTAGTTCGTCATAGATAAAAATAATACATTTTGACAACAAAATAGTTGGTCATATTAAAATACTTACGTGTGCCGTTTAAACGCGTTTACTTATTGTACGTTTTTATTTAAAAAAACCTAAAAATATTTAAGTATCTTTTTTTTCTGGAAAGGCACTCGCATTCGTGATCTTTTTTTGGTTCAGTTCCAAAAAACCTGGCCGATAATTATATTATGCATAACTATGTGGCATGCTTTATAGTTTGTAAGCCATTTAAAATAATTATAATAACATAATTTATAAAAGCTGCACAGTTCGATTAACGTTTTTTACATTGTATACATAATGCTTTACTTGCGAATGGTTACATGAACTTGAAAATATAAACAAATAAAACCAAAAAACACGATGTTTATGAATTACAACAAACTGATTATTTCATTAATTCAACATTTAATTATAAAGTTAGGTTAGATTATGCTAGGTTCTGGAAACTTGCAATCGCCGTAATCGCCAGCTTGGCTTAAAAATAAGTATAGTTTAATAATAACTACAATACTAAACTGATAGGATAACCTTTACCTAAGTGTTAAGCCAATCCTATGGCTAGTGCGCACAACGTCATCATCAAATCTTATATATTTTTTTTACATATTTATGTTAGTTCTGTTGATATAATTAACCACCAAAGTCCAAAACAGTTTTTATTCCACTGATATTATTTTCAAAAATATGTTGGTTTTCATTTACAAATTATATCGTATTTCAACCGATCGCATTTCGTTGCTTATTTTTTCACTCAAATATTATTTACTTTAAGCATATTTTGTTAAGTGGCTACTATAAAAAAAATATACTCATTATTTAATACTATAATATTCTCAATTTTACCACGGGTATGAAAAATAATCTTTTTTATCTTTTAGGAACGTGATCCATTTCTGTAAAATTATTCAAATACTTACTATTAGTTGAAACTTGAGAGGTACGCGTAAGCCTTCTACATAATATTAAGCACTATGCGGATGGTTTTCAAAGCTTAAACACAGCGCCAAGTGTTACCAAGTATTAACATATTCGGACATGGTAATGTTGTCCAAAATTATTAAAGCAATTTATCATTTTAATTACAAGATAGGAATTAGGTATCTTCATTGTAAATACAGTTTCCAAGTAATTTTGTTGAATTTGAATATCGGTCGTTTTCCATTATCTGTAGACATTTAAATAATAAGGAAACAGCATAAACTATACAGTGCACTAATTATAATATGTACCCTGTAGGGATGTATGTAATAATTTTTAATCTAATTAAACATCGTAAAACACACAGTCCATATTTCTAGACTAAATATTTAAGTATATTTTGTTTTTCGTTAACGGTAAAGATTTTTCCACTATAAAATATATAATACTTCATTTTTTCTGTTGTTCGTTTTAAATAACAGGTATGTGCTTCGCCTTCTGGTCTAATAATAAAAATGGCATCTGCCAGTAATATAATATTTTCATTGTGCGAAATGAAACGAATAAATTATGAATAGACATTCATAAAACCTCAATATAAAAATAACACGTACTATATCGATTTCATAAATACATTTTGACGTTTAAATCATCTCGATTGTGTACCTTATCGATTATAACGATACAACGATAGGTTTGTTTTTCGTCCATATTTTGTCCACTTGTATTGACCGTAAAGTGATGCTCGGTGTTAGAACAGATGACGACACTAAAACGGTTGCCAAAAAAAAAATTAACAAAAATTACTCATTGCCAGCCAGCGGGACTGCAGCAGACGACGGAGAGTTATGCTTAAGCTGTAAGTCGGAACGAACGCGTTAATTTAGTGTCATGTGATGTGCTTTCGGTAGTGAATATTATTTTATTTGGGGGCTCGATGGATCTTAGATGGATATTGATTATCGCCCTACTAGCAGTTAGAGGTAATATTATGTTCTAATTTTATTAAGAGTTATTTTTTTTTTAACAAATATGTAATTGTAGTCGTTTATATGTTTTACGATGACACTATGGTTTGTTATGTAGATATTTGTATTATTATTGTATATACAAGTATCGAATGCTTTTAATTATACACCATTTAAACTTATTGGTAGTTTGGTCGTATGAGATTTGCGGGGGAAGGCGAGTAATATATATTTGGAATATGACTATTAGGTCAAAAATAACATACTAAACATAGTCATGTTCGAACGAATACTTAGCATTCAATTTAAATTATTATTTACAAACTAAGAAACACTGAATTTTCATTGTTTGCAAAGACTAATTATAATTAAAAATTATAATTATAGAATATTTATATTTTATTAAAGAAAAAAATAACAGTAGAATAAAATAGTTACTATTAACTCATAACCGTAATTTATTATTGCTATAATTTTTTTTTTAGAATTATATATACACATTACGGTTGACTGTTTGATCTACTATCAAAGCTAATCTATTAATAATTTTGATAGTTTTTGTTAAAATCAGAAATCACATTTTGTCTTTTATTATTCACTTTTGTGTAATCGTACTTACTATTAAAATAGTCAATAGAATTTCAATTTAAAAAGAAAATTTTGTTTTGTGAAATACTTAAATTTAAGAATTTGTTGAAAAGATAATTTCCTATAAAGTGGAAACGCTTTTTTCCAAACAGTTCTACTGCCTGCGACAGTTCTATTTCGGTAGGGGCATTAGGTTATGTTGTGTATTAATAGTGTACCGACAGAACACAACTGGGACACTCTGGTTGCAATTTTCTATTTTTATATCGTCAGCGGCCGTCTGGGATTTTAAGTACCCCCGCTCAATTTTTATTCCCAGTAAATTTATTAGTTCTATAAAAAGTAGTGTAAAACCATAATAACATGTACCGATTTTGAATATTGTCATTAAATGTCATGGGTTGTTTCGTGTTCGTCGAGCAAAAATAATTTATGCCTTTTACATAGAGTTATACACACAGTAAATGATTTTGGTTTAGATACATTTTGTGAAACTTTTGCCAGCGTACCACCGGCGTCTGTAGTTCCATCAGAAGTGGACTGTCAGCAATACGTAGAGAAAGCCATCAAAGAATTAGTTACTTCAGAACCTATTGGTAGTTAGATACTTTAACTTGTCTATATGTCAAAACGTATTATACCTATTTAGGAAATGTGTCGTATTCAGGAAGTACGGGACACCATAACACTAAAGATGAAAGCTCCGCAAATGGAAGCCCTCCAAATGATGATGTTGAGGGCCCGAGTGTTAAAGATGGTAATTTTGAGGATGATAGCAGACCGAGTGCGTCGCCCGAGCCGGTAAAATATAATTTGAAAATTAATTTGAAAGCAACAAAAAATTAATTAATTATGTTGATGAATAATTGTTTTCCAGGAAAACATTGAAGAAAAAGGAGAATCACCAAGAAAGGAAATAAGTATAGAAGAAGTCGCTAATGTAATTAATGAACAAAATGACGTAAATAGGATTGATGAAATTCAGCCAGATGCAATTGCCGAAACTCCAGATACTGATAAGGCTGATGAAGATACTGAAGATGAAATAAGTGTTGAGGAAGAAACTGCGACTGAAAACAAAACTAATACGGAAGAAAACGATGTAGAAGAAGCCAATACGGAAGAAAACGATGTAAAAGAAGCCAATACGGAAGAAAACGATCTGGAAGAAACCATATCAATCATTATAGATGAGAATTTGGTTAAAGATAACGCTGATATTTTAATTGATGTCAAAGACTTCAATAAAGAAGATAATATCAAAATATCTGAACCCGAAAATTCTAAAGCGGATAACGAAAAAATAAATATTGACGAAGAAATAATTAAAAAGAAAAATGTTCCAGTTCAAACACAAACATTCAAGGGAACGAAAAAGAGGAATCCAAAATATTGGAAGTTTGATCCCGATGAATTTCCGCTTGAAGAAGAAACAGTTCAAGTAACGGAAAAAAAAAGAAAGAAAAACCCTAAATATTGGAAGTTTGATCCTGACGAAGACGAATTAGTTAGTGATAAGGGTGAAACAACAACAGCACAAACTAAAGATGAAACATTGATTACCGATAAAACAACCTATCCTGTATTTAAAGGGACAAAAAAGAGGAATCCAAAATATTGGAAGTTTGATCCCGATGAATTTCCTCTTGAAGAAGAAACGGTAAAAGTATCCGAAAAGAAAAGAAAGAGAAACCCCAAGTATTGGAAATTTGACCCTGATGAAGAGGAGTCTACTGATGAAAAAAGTACAGTTAAGGCCACCAATGTCAACAAAGAAACGAAATCTACCAAAAAATCGACTGAGCCTGTGTTTAAAGGAACAAAAAAAAGGAACCCTAAGTATTGGAAGTTTGATCCTGAGGAATTTCCACAAGAAGAAGAAATTAAAGTAGAACCAGTCAAAAAAGGAAAACGTAATCCTAAATTCTGGAAATTTGATCCCGACGAAAACCCTGAGGGAAAAGAACCAGAAAAAGATTTCAAAGTCAAAGTAGACACTAAAGAAAACAAGTACTCGAAGGTTGAAAAATCAAAATTAAAACTGTCAAAGGAAGAACAAATAGTGATAGAAACAAAGAAAAAGAATAAATATTGGAAGACCGAAGAAACAGAAGAAGAAGTACTTGAAAAAGGAATAAGAGATGAATCGAAAAAAGAAGAACATTATAGTAAAACAGATGATAAACCTGAAGAATCGAATCAAGCAAAATTAATAGATAGTATGTACTGGAAAATTGAAGATGAAAAACCAATAAAAAGAGAATCTAGAGAAGCAGTTAAACCAAAAGAAAAATCAGAAAAAAAATTAGAGAGTATTAAAAAAATTAAAGGTAAGCTTGTCTGAAAATATTCATTAAAAATATATATGTACTTATTTAAACTATTTTATGTATTTAGTCGAAGTACAAATTGAAGATGATGTAGAACCAGAGGACGACTTAACGATGGTAAAGAAGAACATGTATTGTTATACATTTTAACTATAATTATTATTAATAATTCTCGTTAATATAGTAATTTATTTATGAAAATTTCGATCCGCTTAGGACGAAGTATTGCCAAAGAACTTACGGAATAAAAGTCATATAAAAAAAACATTGAAAATTGGCGAAGACACTGCACAACATGATGGATTTTTATCAAAAGTTGTAGATACGACATTGAAAGAATTAAAGAAAGTATACGAAGTCGCTATCAAACCTTTAGAAACAACTTTTAAGTATAAAGATTTGAGTAACCGTCATTTTGGAGGTATGATTATGAAATAAGAACAATTAATATCTGTGTTTGCTGTACTCAATTAGTAATAATTATAAAAATTTAATATTTAATAACTAATTTTGTTTAGAACCAGAAATATTTTCAAAACCATTGGTACTTTTTATGGGCCCTTGGAGTGGGGGCAAATCATCTATCATAAACTATCTACTAGACATTGAGTATTCTCAATTTTCATTAAGAACTGGTGAGATTATTAATTTACTACGACAAGTCTATGACGTTTGCTAATAAATAAATAAATGTGTACAATTGAGTTTTTAATTCTCACGAAAGAGATTATTTTTGTATAATCTATTTTTAATTATGTTTTTTTAGGAGCGGAACCGTCTCCGGCATATTTCAATATTTTGATGTACAGTAATCGAGAAGCGATTCTAGACGGGACTCAATTGGCAGCTGATTGGACGTTTTCTGGTCTTCAAAAATTTGGTCAAGGCCTCTTGGATAGACTACGCGGACTTAAACTACCTCATCCCTTATTGGAAAAGGTACTTTCACCATTAACATTTTGACGTTTAAGTTTAAACTTGAGTTAAATTTACGTTACAGGTGAATATCGTAGAGATCCCAGGAATTATGGAAATGCGCAAGTACGTAGATCGTGTGTTTCCATTCAACGACGTTTGTCAATGGTTCATCGATAGGGCAGACGTCATTTTTCTAGTATACGACCCGGCAAAACTGGACGTGGGCCCAGAGACGGAAGCAATTTTAGACCAGCTAAAGGGTAGAGAATACCAGGTATGCCGGTCGTTCTTCAAAAAGCTTTGACTTATTAAAAAAAAAACTTTTCGGTATTAAATTCGGCAAATTTTTGTACGTGAATTGTATTTAATACAGACAAGGATAATATTAAACAAAGCGGACAAGATTCGCGCCGAAGAATTAATGCGCATCCAAGGCACGCTCATTTGGAATATAAGTCCATTGATGTCCAGTGCAGAACCGCCCACAATTTACTCAGTGTCCTTGTGGTCCAACCCCTACGAAACGGGATCTCCGGCCAAGTTGTTGCACTCACAGGAACTGGCGTTCTTGAGAGATATTCGTTCGGCCATTGACAAGCGCGTGGAAAACAAAATCGCCAGTGCCAGACGATTCGCGGTGAGTATAATTATTATTTGACAAAACTTTAACGAAATTAGAAACGTTTCTCGAAATGAATTTTAACGGTGGCATATATTTTTTTTTTTATACATAAATAGGTCCGGGTAAGAAATCACGCTAAAATGGTCGACTGTTATCTGACTACCTACTACAATCACAAGTCAATCTTCGGTAACAAGAAGACTGTCAGCGATGACATCATCGAACACCCGCAAAACTATCACATTTACGAAGGGCTCAGTACGTTGACAAACATCTCCAGATACGACTTGCCCGACCCGGACGTGTACAGGGACTTTTTCCGCCTGAACCCGGTTTACGAATTCAAGAGACTGTCGGAGACGTGCACGTACTTCCGAGGATGTCCGATCAACAAGTTGGACATGGCCATCGCATACGACTTGCCCGACCTGATCGGTCAGTACAAAAGACAAGAAGAAGAACTTGTGATGGCTGTCGAAAACGCACCGTGAACACTTGTGTTCGGGACACAATAATATCATTAATTGAAACCTTGCATTATATTTATAGGCATTGTATAAATTATAATGTATAATTTATTTTATTATCAAGTCATTGTTTTACCAATATTTGTTTTCGCGTAGACTGGTTTTTGATTTATATTAAATTGTTAGTTACCTATATGTATACTGCTGTGAACCAACAAAGACCAAAAATCTTGTTGATGTTTATAAAAAAATATATAAATCCAAAATACGAAAAAATCGGACACAATAAAAACTATACGGATTAATGAAATATCATTGAATGCAAATAATTGTATACATTTATAGTTTATTTAAAATCAATGATATTTACATAAAACGTACAAGTATATTGATCGGTGGGTACTGGGTAGTCAAGAAGTTTTAACTGGTTTATCATAACTTTTGAGATGCAAAATACCAGAAAAGGACTAAGTATAGAATATAAGACATCAGGGAGTTAACCGGATTCTACAGTCAACAAGAAACTACAATCAAAAATCAATTACAAAACTATCAGCGCAAGCGTCTCTATATGATTTTATTTATAAAAAAAATAATTTGGTATTCAAACTAATAATTATTTTTTATTATTTAATGATTAATAAAATGTTTAAAAATTTAATAACTATTTTCAAAGGGGTTAATTTAGTGAGAATCGTGTGCCCGAGTAAATAATTATTCGACAGTGTTAAAATAATATAATGTGTTATACAGTGTAGTTCAGGAAGATTTGATAAATGCTATAATTTTTTATAAATGCATATTTGCACATTTTGATTTTTTTTTAAATAATTTATTAGATTATAGGCTGCAAATATTTAATAATAAATTTTAAAAAACCAGTTATAAATTATAATAATTGAAATGATGAATTTTATTTTTTGCTCGGAGGAAAAATTACAAACAAAGAATAAAAATAGAATTATTATAAGAAGTCATTTCATTTAGAAAAAATATTCTATTAACTACTCCATTGTTTTTACATAGAATTGCATTCTGTGTTTGCGCGTGTAGTGTCATCACTGTATTATGATAATTTTCATTTCGAATTTGTCAGTAACTCTTAAATGGCGGGTATTTGTTATCATAAATTAAAAATAACTGATAACAATGTGCAATGTGTGATAATAAATCTAAAGTAAATAAATAATAATAATTGTCTTAGCTCTTAGCTGATTTTAATGAGTATACATCTTGATTCTTGTTTGAACATTAACGTCTATTTAATTTTAATTTTATAACAATGTAGTAATATTGTTCACTAAACTTATAATTACAAATACACTAATCATTTTACTTTATTGTTCAGTGAAATAAATTAATTTTACCATGTACGAATTGGTAACGCAAATATTAGAATGCATAGACTTTATATCGAACACCATGAAGAACGAATTAGCAGAAATATTTGAAACCTGGAATCAATGTTCAAGAGTGTTTGCTGGCGTCGTAGAAAAAATTAAAGTTGCTCGGAGGTGAATAATTATACTCTATTATTAACTATTGTTTAAGAAAATATTTTCTAAAAAGTAAGATATTGTTATAACTGAAAAAAAGCCAGCACAGTGGGGTTGAGGAATAGTGAGGATAGAACATGGTTATATCTTTGTAGCCACAGGACTGTAGGAATTATTATAACTACAAGTGATAAAATTACTTTTTAAAAAAACGCTTTGATGCATATCTATAGATGATAGAAATATTAAATAGTTATCAAAAAGCATTGTAATGACAATAACGTGTTTTTAACTGAATTTTTAGTATTTTGTTAGGTATGATTTGGGTTAACTTAATACATTTAGGATGTATCTATGTCTTTGTTTATGTGGTGACGTTTCATACCCATTGCAGAGTCCATCTTCAAAGCGATAGACACCGTTTCACTACCGCGACTGTACTCATAACTATAAACAGCACATAAACAAAGACATACGCACATCCAAAAAATTGTCAAGTTAATATTTTAATCTTTTTTAAGTTTAACTTATTTAGAATTTAAGTTGGTCTGTCTTTGGTAAGTTATCACCGTATTTACCTATGTATTATAACCAACAATATAATAAAAATATTTTTCAGTTACCTGGGGGGCTATTCATGAATTTTTATAGAATTCGACAAGATATTGTCACCATGTTATGTAATTGTCACCAACTCAATATTTATTTGGTAATTTTTGTTTAACATTGAAAGTCCAGTTTTCTTGTTTAGGTACTAAAATATACTACAATACACTACAATATACAATATACTATAATATACAATAAAGCAATAACCTGCCAACTCAAAATGCACCACCAAAATAATTTGTTTTTAAAAACAGATAACAAAAAACATAATTCTTATAAATATTGTCCATTCCTGTATCAATCAAAATTTACTGTATTTATTAAAATACTTAAAACATACTATTTTTATTAAAACATATTATTTTAAATAAATAATTTCAACTGAAATATATCTGTGAAAAAAAATGTCTCAAAAAGTCATAAATTAAAAATTACTTCTAAAAAAATGTTTTATAATTTGTTATATTTGTATTATGTTTATCTATAGAAACTTTTTTGTAAATAAACTTAACATTTATTTATAAAAGATTTTTTTTTGTAGAGCACCGTTAGATACAGACTTGTTAAATGAATTTCCAGACATCAGGACAAAAGTTGCAACGAAACTTGTTGGATTAGAAACAGAACAACTTGGTATCTTGGAAATATGTTTGTAAGTATTTGTTGTTCAATTCTAAGAATCAAGTTACCTTTTTTACCTGGAATCTAGCTATAAATACATAGCTAAACTTCATAAGCTCGTAAAATATAGTGTTTCTCACTCTAAGTCTAAAAATAATGTATGTTATTAATTTTAATTATTTAAACGAGTTGTATTGACCCCACAAACAGTAGATCACTAATTAATTCATTAAAATAAATAAAACGATAAATACTATAAAGGAAATAAGTTAAAATAAATGTTTTACCAATATACATACTCACCTATATACACCTATGTTACCTATATACATATTTTTAACTGTGTACATACCAAGTTCTTCTATTTGTTAAATGATTGCTTAATATATATTTTAGGAAACGTTTTTCTCGTATAAACGAGTGTCTAAAAAATAAACTGGATAGAATCAACAATAAACTTGAGAAAATATCATTTAAAAATCACATGGAACTGAAGCATACTATACACGAACATGCACTATGGATAGAAGATTGCTGGTCATGTTTTCACGTCTTGTAATTACCAAATTATTTAATGAAATTATATTATTTTGGTAAAAAATCAAATTTATATTTTCAGCTATATGCAGTTACAATTTGCAATGATGTCCTTAAAACCTTCGGATGAAGAATCTGCAGGAAAGTTAGTCGAAGCTATAATACAAAACGAGCAAGATAAATACACTATTGGCAGAGCAAAAATGTACTTGCACAGCTGTAAGAGTTTGTTAAAGTTTTTGGAAAATCAAAGTAAAATTAAAATTACACAGGGGCATAATTAATGTCTTATAAATATATGTTTATATTTGTGTCATCTATAAAAAGTGTAAATATAATTTATTGTCGGTGCTGTTTCAATAATTCTTATCTTGTTAATACTTCAAAAACACGGTAATACGCTTAAAACTAAATATATAAACACACAATGCCGTATGAGACTTTGACGCATTAAATAAAACTTGTTAACCTTTGTGCGATATTAATTATTGCTGCACTTCTTTTACAGTGTTGTAATCGTTTCTTTTGATCCAGCATAACATATTTATCCATATGAACGAGCATGTTCCCACATAAATGACTCTAGCCGGTGGTGGGACTAACATGAAATTTATAGCTTGTGCAGGCAACCAAAAGACACAGCTTGTTTTGAACGTCGGAATGAACTTTTGTCGACATTCTTCTAATAGATTGCTTTTACCCTCCATAAGACTCATGCCTGTAATAATTAAATTTGAAATAAAAGTAGTGTAGTCGTGAGGGAGGGTGTGTTATACCTGATACTTACTAACATAAAAAATTACATAAAGCGGTGGAGTCATAAGGAACTGATCTAAGAGCATTTTTTTAACAATGATTTTTGGCGCAGTACCCACAAAAGCTTTATCTAACCACTTGTACCTGTAAAAATAAATAATTGTAGTACTTTGTTTTGATAACTGTGTCTTAAGTGTGTATATTAATTGTTTAATTTTTTTTTTTACCAAAAATAGAGTATGTTTGGACTAATCAAAGTGCCAATTACGGCGTAATGTCCCAAAACTTCTTTATCTATTGGCTCTGGAGGCTCAGTTTTATTCTAAAATAATATGAAATAATAAAATGTGCACTTTAATAACTATTAATTCGTATACTAAACCAGTATCCGCTTAGTTATTATTTGTTGCGATAATTCGGCTCCAACACACATTGTCCCATACACTGTTGAATTAGCCAACATTGGATGTTTCCGAAATGTTTCTTTAATTACCATTACTAATCTTGACATCTTATAAATTATTTACACTGAAAAAAAAAGTATACTAAAATGAAGACAAAGTTATTTTAATGATGCCTTGAATTGGTTTGTTTACCTGACGATTTATAGAGAAATATTTGTATCGATTTTTTATATTGTATGTATTATGTAAATTCCAAGTTATTTGTACGTTACACCACCGTCACTATTATGTTCACTGGTTCATTTGATAGTGTTGTACCGGTTGTAGTGTGTATTTGAAAATCCCCCCACGTTTTTTATTGGTTTCATTTACACGTGATACTTATACGCCGACAGTGTTAATTTCGAGGCCATTACATATATATTCTACACGAATTAATTCATAATTCATCGTTCATTATGAATTACTATTAAATCACTACACATGTTAGCTAACTATTAGACACACGTACATTGTACGACCATTACAATTGTTGATATTTATTGTGTAATAATTAATTTTAAAAACGGAATATTTTGTTTGAAATGTAATCAATTAACTCGAATACTATTTTGGTATGTTTTAATATAACGAGTTCTCTATGTTAGTGAGTTTTTCAAATACCTTTTCCGACAATCTATTAGTATTGTTGACAATAGTTTTCGAATTTTTTTTTTAATTGGAATCAATCGAATATTGACTTAATGAATGCTGGTAAACTTTGAAAAACATGTTTTTTTAACACAATACGATTATTAATTTGATTCCTAAATGTTCTTTATTTGCTGAATTCAAGCTGCTAAGTGTTTTGACATTCAAGCGGTACCTATTCAAATTTGGAAAACTATAAAAACAAAAAAAATAGTGTGGTATTTCTTTCGAGTTGTAAAGATCTGTTAAATAAGCAGAGCCCATAGCGGTTACAGGCGGTATAGTTTTTTTTAAAAAATTATTTCAGTAAAGTTATATTAAAAAAAATAGTATTGCATGGGCGATATGTATTAAAAACTAAATTATCTGTTTTAAGTATTTCGGTGTCAAACATATTTTATAATTTAGATTATTTGTTAACTTGCTGATTTGGTTTGACCTTTTAAATGTAAAACCGTTTTATAATATCAAACATCCTTTGTAGGGGACAGATTGATTTGACATGGTTAATAGTTATTAGTATCCCACGCTCTGGAATATATTGTTTTATTAGGACACGAAAATTACAATAGGAAACATCAGTACAAAGTATGAAACCATACAGGCGGAAATAGGGGAGACTTGTATTTTTTGTAACACTTTAAAGATATTTGGTGAGCAATAAAAAAAAGAAATTCAAATAGTTTTGTGTGAATATTTTGTTGTTTACCTTTACTTTTATAAAAAAATTCGTTCTTTCCGTTTCCCAGATTAAAAATATTGTGGACTCAAAAATACTGTCCAGAAAGGAGCAGATGACGGATTCTTTGAATAAGTCAAAGCCAGATTTATAGTTTTAGTAATACTATTGTTTGTGATATTTATTTTAAGACAGTATCAATATAAATATTATAACTACATACATAAAGTATTGTAAATATATACTGCTTTTCATTGTAATTAGTTTAAGGTTATTGATTCTATTATAAAGACCCGATACATTACAAATAACAAATTACAATTTATTGTAATTAGGTACAAATAAATCGTGACTGATTGAAATAATATTTTGACTACACTTGATAGTGGACTTCTTAAGGGGGCTCCATACAGACCACTTTTAAGGAATTTTTGTAATGGCAATATTTAAGAAAAAAATTATTTAATTTAATTTCGACCATGTCAATTAATTTACCGGTTAATTTGTATAAGCTTTATGGAATTATTTTTAATTAAAATAATTTTGTCTATGAATAAAAGCCATTTTAGTTAATATAATAGTACATTTTTTGTCCATCGCACAGGCCGAACCAGTAATCCGATGAGTAATCTGAAAACAGATTTGAATTTGTCATGAACTTTACTTGAGATCAGCCGAGGTACTTTTTTGATATCAAATTCCTACAACGTATAAAACACGTTTGAATATTTTTGTTAAATTTCAAATTGGGAAAGGGTTAAAATGAAAAATTGAAAAAAGTTCCTCGGCCGATCTCAAGTAAACTTTATGGCAAATTCAAATCTGTTTTTAGATTGCTTATCGGATCACTGGTTCGGCCTGTGCGATGGACAAAAAATGATGTGTTTTGACTGAAAAAAGGTCTGTATGGAGCCCCCTTAAAATCAAATTTTTAAAAAACAAAAAAAGATATTACCATTTTTATTTTTTATAGTGATCAATTTAAATTAATTAAATTGTTTAAAATGAAATATAAAATATTCCATGAGAAATTTAGTTTTAAAAACAAAACTAAAATAATACATTTTAACTATTTTTAACAAACTATGCTACTTTAATGTTTTTTTTTCTATCCTTGTAAATTGTTTATTTTTATAATCAACAATATAAAGAGGTAGCCAGGGAAAACATTTAAAAAGTAGATTGGCAACATTTGTTTTCTCTCGCAATAGATATATTTTTCATAATAGTTTAGAATTAAGTCAATTATTATTTATTATTCAATGAAATGAGTTTAAATCTCCTCAATAACCAATCATTATTCTTAAATAATCTTAACGTAAAGCAAATTTCCAAACATTTAAATACATTTTATTATGAGAACCAACAAAACTCGTTTAAAAAATTTGACTTCCAAAAAATATTAAAAATATTATATACTATATAAACTTGTGTAAATTACTTGGAATATAAAAATAATTAACCTGAACATTTTTTGATTAAAAAAGAACATAAATATATATATTTAATATATTTGTATAATACATTTTCTCCAGGTCGATATTTTGTGTTAAAAGTGTACAAGATGTCGTTAAGTAGCTAATAAGTACAATATCAAGTTTTGAAATTATAATATAGTATATTATTAATTGAAAAACTAAGTGAATTTATAATTTTTAATTGTGATCCTCTAAGACACCTTAAAAAAAAATCAAATGCTAAATGTCTACCGAGTCTGTTGAATTTATTTTCAATTGAATATAGGATTGCTTAGTTGACTAACAGCATTGAATTTATGATGCATATAGAAATATTGCATATAATATAACATGTTTTTTAATATAATATTTATACTGTATTGTTACAGTATTATGTGAAAATAAGTGTTGTGCAAACGCATTACAAAGTATTAATTTTTGGCAGAGATCTAAATTTTTTTTTAATTTAATCCGAGTAGTATATAAATGAAAAAATCAATTGTTTTTTGTCCAAAATGTTTAGGTCACATAAATTTATTTTTTTCCAACTTGACTAATAGTTTGTAATCTATATGTTAAATATGGGTAGTAAAACTAAATACAACAAACAACGTAATATTAATTATTAATAAAATGTTAAATAATCAGATAATCGTATTGGTCAGACCGACCAATACGAATAAGCAGTGAACATATTTTAAATGTATAGTAAAATAATATTAATAAATAATGATCAAATCTTTTTAATAATGATAACAAGTTTATTAGATGTATAGGGGTTTTAACCTTCTTTTTACTAAATAAATAGTATTTTTGTATTCATTATAAATGTATTTTTTAGCATTTTTAATTACTACAACTTTAACAATAATAGGTAGTGTTTAAAAAAAATTAACAAAATATTTACCAATAATTAACCTTGTAAAAATCTTACAACTATGTAAAATAATTATAAAAAAATTAAAACAAATTTAATTAATATAATAAATTGTGTTCAACAAAGTTGTTCAAAAACCGTAACAGTTTTTGATAATTGAATGTTATGTACTAGCCTTAAATGTTCTTTCATTTGAATTTTAGAACTAAATTTTTCCTCACAAGCGCCACAGTTGTAAAAATCTGTTTTTCCATGCACTTTGCGTTCGTGACATCTCAGGTTAGAAAATTGAAAAAATGTACCACCACAAACGCTGCACTGATAATGTCCACCGTGAGTACTCAAATGAGTTTTCAAAGATGTACATGTAGCAACCTGGGAACATAAAAGTTTTGATTTTATCAAGTGAAAATATTAGTTAATATGTATTATTATGTATGTATTAATCAATGTAAAATGTATGTATTACCTGAGCAGGGCATAAGTGGCATTTGTAAGGCTTTTCTTCGCTGTGAGTTATAAGGTGGTTCTTTAAAGTGCTCGGTTGAGCGAATTTTCTATTGCAAATATTACATTCAAAGTTTTTTTCTCCGCTGTGAGTGCGTTGATGAGTTACGAGGGTGCTGAGGTGGGCAAACGATTTGTCGCATTCAACACAAGCATACGGTTTATCGCCTGTGTGCGAAGCCAAATGATATTTTAAACTATTATACCACTGAAACTGTTTGTCGCAAATTTGACATTGGTACCGTTTCTGGTCATCGTGCTTACGCAAGTGTTTATTTAGGTAACGGCGATTCTTAAAGCTCAATTCACAATGATCACATTTATACGGCCTATCATTAGTATGTACGTCACCGTGCATTTTTAATTTATACTGACAAGTAAATTTTTTGCTACATATTTGACATTCAAACGGTTTTTCTCCTGTGTGTGTTCGTATGTGCTCTTTAAACCTAGAGAACTGCGTAAATGTTTTATTACACAACGTACATTCATAATACTTTTGTCCAAATTCTGTATATAACGCCCATTTAGTTTCAGGTTTTGGGTTTTCATAGTGGATTTTTAAATGTGTTCTTACACCTGGAAATGAAAATATTGATTTACTAATACATGTAGCTAGCAAACAATAAATGTTGAAATAGAATACCCCTCTTTGTGTTATATATTTTCCCACACAAATCGCATTGAAACTCAATTTGATCACAATTGTCTCTACGATGTCGTGCCAAATGGTCTGCTCTAGTAAATTTATGGCCACATAGTTCACACTGAAATGGTTTATCCCCCGAATGGCTCATTAAGTGATATTGAAGATTTCTAGACTGTTTGAACAGTTTATCACAAATTGTACATTGGTGTTGTATAATATTGTGTACTTTTTCATTGTGGTCTTTTAACTCTTTTGCTGTATTGAACTTGGTATCACAATCTTTACAGGAGTTATCTGATTTACTAGCACTATATTTTTGATGACGGCGCAAATGAAGTACAGCCAATGAAGGAAAATGGTAATGCTTATCACAAATTGAACATTTGAAAACACGTTTCAGTTTTGTTTGTTTTTTGATATTTAACGGCAAAGGAACACAATCATGAAATTCATATTCAGTTCCAAATATTTGTTCACACCGCAAACATTTAAAAACATTATCAAATATTAAATTGTTTTTTAAGTCTTCATCACCTATATCTTTTTCTTCTTTACATAACTCAATTTCTTCATAAGACTCGGGTAAAACTGATACAACATTAATTTCATTCATTCTGAAAACAAATTATACATTTATACAATTACTTTTAAATAATTAAACACAACTTATAAAAAATATACTCTTGTGAATAGGTTTTTATGAAAAATTGTACACAACTTTATCAGAGTCTACCAGATGCAAAAGAATGTTAGTTGACTATCAATAACCTATTGTAATCTTAAGATTATTTTTGTGCCCTCAGGACGTAAGTGAACAAATTCCCTTTCGCATCTGATTGACTCGTTTCAGCATAAAATTCTGCCAAACGTATCCTACAATGAGAATAGAACTGGCAATTTTATTGATTAGTTAAAATCAAAACCTAATATCTGCCTAGGTCATAAGAGTTGAAATTTAATGTAGTTGTTACCGTACAACAGTAATATTTTAACTGTAACTATTAACTGTAATTAAAACACATTAACGTACTAATGAGGGACATACGTTAAGAATAAAAAATGAATTCGTCATAATAGTAACCATTTCAAAATATCGACTCTTACATTGTCAATAAAGGCAAGCAGGCAAAGCAGATATTCAATGATAAAATATGTAATACACGGAAACTGCGATTACGAACGTGACTGAATATAACATAGCAAACAAAAACTTATTAAACATAAAGTAATCTGAGTACACTAAGTTATTCTTGGTAGATTCTGTATGAACAGAAAAAACTGACAATTTGTCATCATTGATGATGTTTTTTTATTTAATTTTCGACTCTCGAGTAAACAAATCAAATATGGGCAGTTATTTGGTTTACTCTTATCAAGTAGCTGTTGATAACATTCAGCCTGGTGACACTGTTGTTGCGACCCTCGAGGTAGTCGAATACCCGAATGTAATTTCTCTACAGTTACAATATTAAAAATGAAACTCGATTTTAAAACACCACATCAATAGTTTTTTTAAATACTATAATATTTTTATAAATATGATTTGGCGTATTTGGGTTGTTACATTTTAATACGTTCAACAAAATTTCAACATTTGTTTTCATTGCGTGTGTTAAAGGTTTCTCTTTTTGTTCGGTAACCAGATAGTTGTAAAATATTTTATTATGTGCGCCGTGCATGCACTGTACAACGAAAGGTGTAAACAAAAAAAAAAATTACAGGTGGATTACAGGTAAGAGGTAACGCGACAGGCCTGCACAGGTGGAATTCCATTGCGACATTACTGCCGTCGTCGCAGTAAATTACTAAATATCGCTATTGTTTTTGTTTTTTTATTTAACCGTCTAAACTCTTAAAGATGAGTAAATAATATGTATGTTGTCCGCCCACTACTGCGATGACGGCGTCAATCGTTTTAAAGTAACTATTTTTTAGTGTTTATTATTGTTAAAAAAATATCTGTTGTATGTCTAAAAATCATTTTTTTATCAGTTATCGTTATAATAATAATAATAATTGTTATCTGCAAATTTTTGATTTTGTATTACTTCAGACGTCGTCGACTGCTGGATTGTTCTAGTTTTCTCAGTGCTTTTCAAAATTGCTATCTAAAAATGTTAATGGTTTATGTTAAACCGTCCAGTATTCAACAGCATATGGTCATCAGCAAACTGGTGAAGCTGTAGCTAAACGACAGTAATACACATTCCTACACAGCAGTGACAGGTATGTACATATTATATATGGTAAACATACTCGAGGATTTACTGTTATTTACTATTTACTATTATTAATAGTTAAAACATTTAATTTGGGTGCATTAATGTAAATAAATAGATACAAATTGAAAGAGTAAAATCTATTATTATCATGTTATAAAAATAGCAATGTAGTTTTCTTCATCTGGGAAGTGTAAAGATCAGATAATAACCTTGATTAAACCAATAAAATATAGGAAGTCATTGTAATTTATATAGATACTGGTATATTATTATTTACCAAATAAACAATGTTTGTGTTTATTACTTAATACTTATCATAGGATATTAAATTATGTTAATATTACGTTTCCCTTTGTTTCGTCTATGTAACAAATAATCATGTTTCATTTAATTGTTTGAACAAATTATTTCTAATTATTCCCTTATTTATTAACTCATTAATCACTATCAGTTTGTTTATCCTAGTTTATTACTCATTGTTAGTTATTGTTATGTCGTAGACTACACTTTAGACTACTGTACTATTTTATTAATGCCTTATGATATTTAATATTGACTATTTGTTTTATATTTTTCTAAATACTTTTTAAAATACATTTTTGTCAATTATAATAGGCATAATAGAATAAAATAATAGTTTATAATTTAATTTATGATTGGACCTAAGTAAAAAAATATATGCAAACATTTGTTATTAATTTTAAAGAAATATATTTTCATTTTATGTTAGGAAATAAATGAAAAAATGACATATCTATAGAATAACTTTAAATGTATTATAACTGAAAGAAATAATCATAGCAAATTAGTTATGGTTATATTGTTCATTCAACATTTATATGTATTGCTGACAAACTATGGCTATTCAATTTTAAGAAAAGACGACCACTTTTTGTTATGGTGGCTTAACAGTGGTAGTATAGAGTTCTGGGTTTTTGACCCCTTTTGGGAATAAATGTCTTTAATTAATGAATTTCGTTAGTTTAAATTTACAATTAAATGTTGGGAAAGTAATTAATTGCAAGAAAAAGTGGTTCTAGCAGTGATCAATTTTTTTTAGGTTGTCATGTCAGGAGAATTCCACTCAGTAAATTTTGTTGCTTGCTGTATAATGTCATAAAGCATTCTGTATTTACAGGGCATCTGATATCCTGTGAATTAGTTTGAAACAATCATTAGTCACTAGTAAAATTTTTAGTATGGATTGTATATTTGGGTGTACTGACACAATCCTATTACCGTAATTGGTTTTACAGCCATTTACCTTAATCATTAAGTTTATTTTAAATTAGGGTAGGGTCAGGGTAGGTAGGGTAGCCCTGAAGTAATGGCTAACCCCGAGTTCCGAAGCCGTCTACAATTCTAAAGCAAAAAAAAAAAAAAAGGGTAGGTAAGGTAGAAATTATTATAACTATAGATCAAATATAGAGGAGGACATGTTAGTCTACAATGTGTTAACACTCATTGTATAAGTATCTTTAATATACAATTGGTAAATTGTAAAATATTGATTATATCCTCCCTTTTTTTAAAATTTTTTTTTTCAATAAAAAGTTTGATGGCAGATTTTTGAGAAAATGTTATGTATGAGCTTCACTCTAGACTTACTTCAGATTTAACTTTCAAACCTTTAGTCATGATACTAGACCTAAAAAATAATATTAAGAAAAAGTTTCCACTCCTATTGGGGAAAGGGTTTTTGATAGTTTTTAAGTTTGTCAACGTTTATTGGTAATACTTTTTTTAAAGAAAATTCCATATTTCTAATTTGAATATTTTTAATAAGGTACAATGCGCCGTAATTTTGTATAAAACATGTACATTTTTATTTTTAGGTATTTTTCTTGATTTTTTATGGGGAAGTGGTAAACTTTTTAAATTTTTGGCTCAGTATAGTACCTTTCAGATTATAGAATTTATAGAATTGATACATGAAGAAAATAGTTTAGCATTTTAAAATATATCGTGGTCCAGAAACAAAAATAAGAAAATATCATAGTGAAAATATTTTAGCACTTCATTGAAGTTAAAATAATAGCATATAAATATCATGTAGATGAATTTCAGAAATATCCATGTCACTAGATTTTAGCCGACATTTCGGACTCTTTGCAAAGTCCATCTTTAGGGCTGCGGTAGTCATGACTGTTCAGTATAGCTATGGCAGCAGAACAGTCGTGACTATTGCAGCCCTAAAGATGGATTTTGCAAAGAGTCCGAAATGTCGGCTAAAAACTAGTGACAGATATTTATGAAATTAATCCACATGATACTTCAATCCATGAAAGTTTGAACACATTAACATTTAAATAATAATTAATATTAGGGTAGAATGATTGTATTGATTTGAAGTAATCATGTATAGCACTAATTACTAATTATTTTTACATTTTAATAGTTTTTATATAACTTACCTGTTAAGGATCAGTTTACAGTGGTACAAAAAGCTTCAAATTATCTCTTTGAAACTTTAATTAAATCTTACCTGTGGGCTATAATTAGCATAATTCATCCGTCAATTTTATTTGAAAAAATTTGAGGTGGTTACAGTGGAGTTGGGAGGGGGGGGGGTGAGAAGCCTCTAGTCACCTTAAATTGATTTCTTTTGTATTAAATTTAATGTTAACCTAGATGTTAAATGAAGTTAAATAGTTGAAATCTATCACTAGAAAACTAACTAGGCTTCTGCGTTGCCACTGTTTGAAGTTTGTCCGGATATAGTTATTGTCTATTGCTTGTTTAACCTTCATTGTTGAGAATTGTTAGTGTTCTTTAGAATAATTAGTTGTCAAAAAATGTTTTGTGCTTGGCCGCATGCTGAATTCTTGTATTCTGAATAATAACATTTTATTTTATTTTCAAATCAAATCTACAATTGCATACTTACTTCAGGCATGGATACAATGGAGCCATTAAAGCTATGTCCTTCCCCAAAATAAAAACAAAACTATGTCCGCCAAAAAGAGGGATGAATCACCGATCACTTAAAAAAATGTGTGCTATCTAATATTGCCCCTTTTAAGTACACATTCTGGATCCACAATTGACTTACAAGAAATATCTTATTATCTATATCACTTAAAAATGTTAGTTTGAAACAAATAGTTGTTTAATCTTAACATTGGTGTACATTTGGTACTTAGGTTTTAAACTATAGCAAACAATGTATTATAAACAACTTAAACCAGTTTAATAATTAATTCCTTTCTGTATGCAAGTACATAATTACAGCTTGTCACTATTTGAATTAAAAAGAAATGTAGATACTTATTAGCTATTAATCAAATATCACCAAGGTGCCAGTAGTTCATTAAATATTTTTCGGTTTTATTGTTATTGAGTTCATGGATCATTTGTTATGAAATAATAGTATAAATATTAAATATAGCTATCTATTATAATGTAATAACCGTTTAAATACCATTACCTAATTAAAATGTAATAATTCAAACCGCAATTATAAGTGATGGGAAAACTCTATTGATAACTGTACTAGGGCTAGGTTTCACCAATTACTGTTTAACTTATGACATGATTGTTTGCTTATCGGCTTTAACTAGCAATATTATAAAACAACATATGTTTTTAGTGGGTAGAATTTTATATAGAGTTAAAAGCATTTAGTGTAATTTTTATTCCATGTTCAAAAAAATATTTAGTACCGTAATTAGTTTATGATATAGGGTATAGTAAACTGTTTTTTTTTGCTAAGAATTAAGTTCATTAAAGTTCTAACAGCTGTAGTTCTGTTCAACCGTAATATACGCCAGTACACTATCATATAGTCGCCTTGCTGTTTATTTTCAAACTGTGTATAATTGTTATAAAAAAAAACCTCCGAAATGTCATAAACAACGTACTTGAAAACAGACATACATATACGAGACAGATGTTTTGAACACTTGCTCATTTTTATCCGGAAAAATATAGTCGTTTACAAATGGATCAGTCAATTTTCTAAACATAATGCGACCAGCAAAAAACCTCGGGAGTTACTATTCACTGTAGCCAATAATAATAACAATAATAATACAAAAAATTGGCCTTGTTCAGCACAAAAAATAAATTTGTTATGAACGGCTGTCGCTTAAGGTCATTGAAATTAAACTGCGTGATGAGATACATAAATTAAGATTAGAAAAAAGTGCAACTGGCTTTGTTGATAATATTTTATACACTCTCTAGGAAACGTGGTATCGTTTTTCTGCATTGTTTGCATTGTTCTACCTATTACTTTTCTCTCTTATACATTTTGGACGCAAAGCACCTAGATCACTTTGTGTATCCCCGCGCAAAATCGTTTTGAACGATTTCGGGTTTAACACTATAAGCCATATTATTTATTAGTATAAAATAACCTATATTTTGTATCATCGTCCATCGAACCCCACTCTCCTACAACATTCCATTTACCCTGGATACCCTGGAACATGTTTTAAAAAAGTTCATGGGCGTGGGGTACTTAAACATAAAATCTCATTATGATCTGTCGAAGTATATTTTGTTTTTTAAATGTTTGTAAAGTGTAGTGTAAGTGCCTTCTATTAAACACATTTTATGTAAATTGTGAAATCACATGTGTTATGACTCATAATAATTATTCCTAATTAAAACAATTAAGTTACTGGGTATTGTTAAGTATTATAAATTTTATATGTATATCTAAATTTTAAAAAGACAATTAAAAATAATTCAATTATTTTTTTTACGAGATCTGTTCATACTGTATATGCGATTATATGCATGTTTCAATCTTATATTTATCATATTTATGTTCCTTAAAAGCGAGATTAGCGATGCGTAATAATTATTTAGATTAAAACGTTTCGCAAGTATTCATTCAGAAGATTAGGATCATTTTTGTTCTCATTCAAATGATGATTTTTATTTTACATATATTTCTTTTTCTCTATTTATGTATAAAAAGTTTTTAGTATCCAATTAAAATAAGAATTTATTAAAAAAAAAAAAATGTTTTTTAAACTTAAAATTATGTATAAAATAAATATAATTTTTTCTGTCTACAATACGTCAAATGGTAAACAGTTTCCCTAAGTATATTTTCGAATCGATTATTACAAACATAATTAGAAAATAAATTGAAACCTTTGCAGCTCTGCGTCCGAAGCTAAAATATTTAAATCATACATTAAAACTGACTAAAATATTAAAAAAAAAATTTTTTTTTAATTTTTAACTAAAAAAAAAATTGGCACAGTTTTTCTACTCTTACAAAAATAAATGTTTGGAGTATATTTGGTTTAGGATAAAACAAACAAAGATGCTTGTACAATGGGTACTTAAAGTACAAGTCATTTCAACCGAATCAAAATTGCAAATGTCAGCTTTTTGGCGTAAAATATAGTCTATATTTTTTTTTTCTTCAGATTTTACAGATTTTTTAAATTGTTAAAGTCTATATGTTCAATTAGATGAAAGAATGAAAAATATAATTTATTCAACATCTAATATTTAATTATATTTTTTATTAGTTGTATTAATTTATCTTATCGTGATTTTATATTGGTAAATAGGAAAATTGTGCAAGTATATTTCTTCTGTTTTCGTCATTGCCGTTTTTGAACTACCTAATAAAAAAACCTGTCTAAGTATTTTATAACAGGTCAACGCACTTTTATGTTCATAATGTTAAAATACATTCACTTAGTTTTAGTGTAATTGATTGTTGGTATAAATTTAAATGATTCAAGTAGACTTCCGTACTAAAAGTTTTAAACGTAGTCTTATGGATAATGAATCTGTGTAATTATTCTCTATATAGATTGGAGAATTCTTGTAAGAATATGAAATCACTTTGACGAAAAGCGCGGTTTAATTTTGATATCTGTATACAAACACCTGGCCGTAATTACGGCTTAACTGTCATCTTTAGAGTGACGATAACCGGCCGTCGATACCCTTGCTGTATAACTATACATTTTGAAAGAAGGAAACAACTCGGCCCCCACATCCTGATCGGAAATGGCGTGGAACGTGCCATATCTAAGCACACGCGTCTTGAACGCAGCTGCGCGGGCGGCAATGTACTCAAGGCATTTCCTTTTTTCTCTTTCATAAAATTTCCCCAACAAAATAATAATATGTGTGACATACAATACGCGGTATGTTGTTTTCCTCCCGCGTTCTCCTCTGGTGTGTATGTATATAATATGCACTATATTATTATTATAGTTTATACTTGTTCCGCTATATGGCAAGCGCAGTGCATCTGCCCCGCCGTATGCCGGTAGGCAATTCCGGGACACGTGCCTATCACCTTTCAAAAACTATAACAACCCTCGCGACAATCAACCCCTTGTTCCTGGTACCTTTTAGACCCAAACACTGGCGTCTATAGGTATAAGAGCGTAGGACGGGATCCGGTATTGCTCAGTGTGAGTTTTGCGTGAGTCGCAGTTAAAAAGGTTTTAAAATCTCTCGCGTTTAATAATATTTATTATTATAAAAACAAAAATAATACATATTTAAAAAACGACGTTTCGTAGGCGATTTCCGAAGGTTTGCAACTATGACTATGGTACGTATAACAAAAAAAAAAATAATAAACTGGTAATTTAAAATATTCTGCAAAACACAAACTCGTCATCGTCGTCGGACTCTAGTGTGTATGCGCGTTTCTTGCGAATTTATACAAAAAGTCGCCAGTAGTTGTAGATTATAATTTATAACAATATTACGTTGTGTTGTTTTTTATTGTAACCGTATTAATATCGTTAAACTGAACACAAAATAGACCGTTTAGATAATGCGTACGCATATAATATTATTTTGTTTGGAATATACAAAGACCAATTGCTGGATATGTAATAATATGTGATCGGTTGTCAATTAGACGCCTTAATCGTTTCATATTTTTCGTTTGTTAGTCATAGGAAGACTAGTTAAGTTATAATAAAACGTTCGTGTAATATCTTAGTAAATATTTCTAATATTGTTTTCCGCTCTCGCAGGTTTTGGCTAGGATGATGGCGCCGAAAATACAAGAAGAAAACATAGTTAACAACAACAACAAAGGCGACAATCCGAAATTTAAACTTAGCATTGAAGACACTGCCGTTCACGGCGGCAACACGGATTCCAATTCGACAAATAACAGGTATGTCATGTATACTTGTTAAAATTGCTATTATAATAAATCACGTGCTAAAACGACAATTCGTGATTACAGCCAGTTCTCGAGCATGTCCGAAGAGGAGAGTTACGAGTGCTACGGAGAGGGGGAAAACATGGATACGTCATCGCCCGTCATTAACACAAAGTGTGTATTAATTGACTTTTACCGCGTCGTGTGATACCTATATAATATTGCATTTGTTTTACTCTAAATTATTCAGTGACATAGAATGCAACGGTCCAAACGTTTTGGGTCTGAAGAGGAACACTTGGCTAAGAACTAGTTTAAGAAGAACCAACGGAAACAAGTAAATTCATCACTTATATTTTTGGGGTAGCCGGTTAGAGTTTTTTAATGATTAGATACTGTTATGACTAAAAATTAAATCTGAATGATTTACAAATTTTGACCACGATAAACTGGGTCCCGAGTTTCTGCTACATTTTATTTAATGCGAGGACAGACGTTTTATCAAACGTTTAATATATGGAGACATTTTATAGGTTTACCATCGATTACTTATGGCCGTTCTAACCAGTTTGGCTTAACATTAAAATAAAGTTTAGCTTATAAGTTGAGTGATATCAAACTATACTTCATTTATAAAATAAACTGGTGAGAACAGCCATTTTCATCAATTAAGTTCATTTAACGCGAGCCAACTGACAATTTTTGTTAGGTTTTATAACTTATTTAATTAGTTGATACATGATGCGAGTGGTGTTCAGATTTGATGGGTTGTAGTATGATGCACACGTGTACATTATTAAAATGTTCATAGAAGTGCCAGTAAAGTTTTGGCTTGATTAATAACAATTTCGTTACTTCAATTTTAAAACAATGCTATCAAAAAAAACTAGATAGCAAAATATTTTAATAGACAAAAATTAAGTAATAATTTAAAAAATAAATAATAAATAAACTTAATAACGCCTAAACTAGTTTATAGAGGTAACAGGTAGTTTCAGAAATTTAGGACTCAGTTTACCTACAACATTTTTTCCCTGGGATTGGTATAAATAGTTTATGAACCTTTGGCTTTCCTTTGAAATCTTCTCTCATAATTATAATGAATATAATATGTATCACGCTAACGGGTTTTGTAAAATAAACTCAATAGTAGGTAGACATTAAATTATTTTGTGAACCGTAATAATACGTTGTTCTAATTAATTCATTTTTTTTTTTAATAGCACCGAAGTTTTACCTAATAGAAAATGGGGTTCGATGAGACATTCGTAAGTATATAGATATATATAGATTATGGTATTTTATTCAAAATTATCGATTAGCTGTTAACACGCACAATGCGTTTAAAACTTTATAGTGGAGGAACAAAATAGATATTCGTGGCTCCATATGGTTTTTTTCGCTTGCCATGTTATCTATACGCAAATGATACACAACAGTTAGCCGCGGTTAAGTCGCGTCCTACTTAGACTATAATACATGTGTTATTTTTTCGAGGTTAAGTACGAATTCTTCGTTGGGGAGCTAATGTGATTTGTCGGTTAATACGCCTTCGAGTAGATTAAGCTTCTATTGTTTTTAAACTTATACGGTTTTTTTTGCGGTATGTCCTCTACGGTAGGTTGATTATTAATATTTTTTTTACTAAAAGTTAATTTGGCTGAATGTTTATTTAAATCTGTGCGATGTCTGCAACACAGTATTTTTATTTTATTTTGTGTGTATGCCGCAAATCAGCATAAAAATGCTAGGCGAATTTTTAATACCCACCGTAAAAATTTGATACGGCCGCTTAAAAACGATTTTTTACGTCTTATTACACCCGCATTGGGTGCGCATATCTAGTGTAGAAATTCAAATTGTAGTTCATAATAATTATTGGTCGCGGTATTGTGGAAAACAAAGGTTATATTCGAGGTGCAGTCGGCGAGATATGAATCTAATAATAATAATTGTATGTTGTCCGTGTTTATTTTCACAATAATTATATGTATTGTACTCTACCTAGTTTTTCTTGTTTTCTACTCGGTTATTACAGTCGATTCGGTTGCGTTCATTAAATTCGTATTTGCAGTAAAATCGTTACCTTATACTATACAGTGTACTATATATAGTTACCAAAGCAGCTGAACTGCATCAAGCATATTACCATCGCTTCAGTTTGGGGTTTTTGCCATCTTAGTGCACAGCTGATCTGCACGCTGCGCCCCCCCCCCCTCAGGTGATAGTTCATCCGACATCCGTCCGACGACTTATTTATAAAGGCAAAAAAATGACGACATTTAAAAATATTTTATTACTCTTTTAGTACATCTGTTCGGGCTAGGTTGCCTTGGTTTGTAACATTTGGCATGCAGCACACCCACAACACCACCTTAGGTGAAGTATGTTTTTCGTGATTGCGATTTACGCCGTCGACTAATTATCGAGGCTTACACGGTTTTTATCTATTGGACGAAACAATACGAATGTTATCGCAGTGCGATAGATTATTATTATTAAAATATTAAAAAATATACGGCACATTGCATTAAAATCGTAAGGGGATTTTCCGACTGTGTCCCGAAATGACCCTTATTTAACGCTCCTAGTGTGTTTGCCAAAAGGTATCATCTGAGTGCGTCCCAAAAAAAAAGGTTATTTTTCTGACGTATCCCGAATGTGTCCCAAGGAAAAAAAGTCATTTGTCTGACGTAACCAAAATGCGTTCCAGTTCATCTAAAGAGTTTACCAACTTAGATATAGAAAAAATTGCTGCAGAATCAATATAATTTTCTGTTAAATAATCTATAAATAAAATAAGTTTTTCATATTCCGGAGTTGTAGATATAAAGTCTTCAACATTATATATTACAACATCTTCTTTATCTCAATGTAACGTTAACTAATGCTCATGAGCCATGAGCATTTCGCCTTCGGTAATAACTGCAATTAGCTAGTGCGAACGCACACTCGGGCTATGAAAAAGGTAAACATTTAAAACGGCACGCACTCGGGAAACTCCCAATCGCAAGAGTAACGATAAACGCGAGTTAGATGAGGACTTTGAGGGGAGGTGGTAGGTAATTCTCAATGTAAACACTGAACACGGGTCTTAAAAAATGTCTTACGTTTAGGTACACGTTAATTTGATTACACGCGCGACTAGCTGTGTTAAATCTTAACGTTACGGATAATAACAAAGTAGATTTGTTGGTAAACCTTTTTGCGTTATTCCGGTTTATCAATGCTGAAAAAATGCATTTTTTCCACCTATGCACTGCCAATTTGTACATCATAACGTCATTATGTACTACGACTATCGCGGTGGAAGTTCATCGGCAAATTTAATGTAGGTAGGTACCGTGTGTTTTAACAATACTCCATTGTTATTGGCGATGAAATATTTTGTTGAATATTACGAAGCGTGTATGAAGATGTACTTAATTTGATTTATTTTTACTAACTTTCAAATCGTGCGCGCTTTACTACGTCGACCCTCATTTAATGTGTTTCTATTATCGCGACTTCTATGTTATATGTGGGGTTGTTGCCATAGTTACATATATGAGTTTAAACAATAATAATGATAATAATGCAGTAACCAGTAATCATTATAATATCATTAGGTAACGTAACGTGTACACGATTCACGTTTTTCGACTATTGTTTCTATTGTAGCATTATATTGATTACAATAATAATAACTACAGTTTCATCACGGACCGTTTAGCACGACGGCCACTGGCTTCTTTTCCGTTCACCATTTTGCATTTTTTTTTTCGATTCCCTCTTTTTAATTTGCGTCCCGACACCACCGCGGAAATTCTTCGGCATGGCGAAAGTAGTAGACAAATAACAAACCAAACATAAAAGCCGTTACTGTTATGTTTACCGTGGGTACCTACTACATAACGTCGATAAATTCGGATTCAAATTGTTACCGAATAAAAACGGTAAACGGAAAAAAACTAAAGCGGAATTGTATTGTCATGTTCTGAACGGCAGTGGCGAAAACATAAACCGTTTAAAAGCAATTACGTCATGTACACGCTATCTTATTATTTAGTGTAGGTATTTAGTTAGTTAGATGACATCGACTATTTGAGTTAAAAAAAAAAAGCTCTCTCTGTCCGCCCTCTAGATTTTATCTTTTGGTCGCTTTGTCTTTGTTATTCATTTGGGCGTTCGAATCTGTAAAGCGTTTAGGTAGCTATCCTCGGTGTCCTGTACGGGTATATGTCCTTGGCGCACATAGGTTTGTGCTAAACACAACCTAGTATTATGGAACAGCGCCGAATGAATATGAAATGTAAAAAACAAAACAAAAAAAATTCCAAAGCGTCCTTGGGTACTGGTTGCTGCCGCCGGTCGTTTGGTTTACCGTGACGGGAATTTCATTTTATAATAGTAACAGCGTTGGTCGTTGGGTACAATATTTTACTGGTGTTATTCCCAGTATATATATATATATATATATATATTGTACATAATATAATATAGTATAGGTGCATTGTGATAAATTTTTCGCGGTTTCTCGCGTGCCTGCCTACTTAACCTATCTATGCGCGCGCCCGCTTGTGCCTCTATGTGTTTATTGCTGAATCTACGGCAGCCAACGGTGTTGCTGCAGACCGTGAGCGTATATTATTTTGTATGTGACCCGGCGAAAAAAAAATTATTAGAAGTAAATAAATAATGTAAAAAATAAAGAAAGGCAAAACGACCTATAGTCGATGAAGTGGTGGTATAAACGGCGGCGAACGTTGTCGGTGCAGTGAATGTATGCTATGCGAGCCGTTGGTCGTGGCCGGAGAGTAGTCAGTAGTCACTACTCACTAGTCTCACGGCGATACGCCGACACCCCGGCCGTGTCCATGTCACTCGTTCCGGGGTCAATAGTTTTTCCGTAACAATGACCCTATGTTCGATTAAGACCCGCCGATTACGATAACGAAAAAAAAATTCAATTGTCATTTGCCGTTTAGTCGTCTATATTAAACTGTTGAAATTTTCATATAAATAATAATTTGTCTAAAATAGTAATAGTGTCGTGTCGCAGCCGTTTCGCGGGTTATTAGCGTCGAGGGAATGAAACAAGAATATAGGTCTTCATCGTGGAGGAGGTACGTTGTGTTAAATCATCAGTTGCGCAAAATTTGTTTGTTAAACATGTAGTCTGATAATCTAAAAATTGATCGACCTCAAACTCGATATTCAAGGTAACGTCATTTGATATGGTCTGTATCGTTTTAAAGAAGTTCCTTTGCAATTTTAATGTGCCGATCGTGTAGTTTGCAGTATCGTTTTTTATTAATTATTATTGAGATTTGTCACAAGAATAGATGGGTTTTTGATTAAACTTCTTGTTGGTTATTAGACGGTTGAGGCCCCGACAAATCTATTGCCATTTTGAAATGTTATCCACAAAAACTCTTAAGATTTTGCGTCTCTCTTTGCTAAGTATCCGAACATTAGGTTTTGTATGCTTATTGTATAATTTATAATTGTATAATTAATAATTGTATAATTAATTTTACCGTTTTGTATTGATCATCGGTCCTGTCTAATCAATCATTATTCAGTGTATATTTTATTACCCGTTGTCTATTCGATCACAGTTTGTTGTCGTTTGCGGTTTATAAAGTTCAAAACGTCTATAACTGAGCTATGCAGTTTATCGTTGTGGTAAATTATGGATATCGTAAAGTAATGGTATGTTTTTCTGTTGGCCGCGGCCCTTCACCGTTTTGCGGCATACATTTCTCTTGCACGTGGAGATGTATGTTTTCACATGCATTCCTGTTCACCAATCAAAAATGCGTTGTGTAACTGCTGTGTAAAAAAAAAAAATGTATTATAATAATTGTCGGCAATTTGTGTTCATCACGTTATCATTTCAATTTCTGTGAAATAATTACTTATTTCTATACTAAAATAAACGTCGTTCTTGTTATTATTTATTTTATTTATACACAATGATCACGAGATTATTATGTATAAGATTACAGATTTTCCATAGCTGGTAGTCCGGTTTTTTATGGTAATGGTCTATACACGAATAAGCTAGGTACCGTAGCAACTCTCAGTTACGTTATGTATTCATCATGAACTCCTCCAGAAAGTTTTTTATAATAGTCAATATACCAAATCTTTTATGAGCCCGTCAATCAAGTCGATAAATGTGAAATTGAATATTATTATTATATCACGGGAAATGATTTTCAATCTCAATCATTAAGTAGGGTGATCAATGATAGGTCTTTAAGTAGATGGCGTTTGCACTAGGTACGATTTTGGAATATGCGGTTAACTAGCGGATTTGTTGTAAAAACATGTAATAATAATAATAGCTATACTATAGCCTACTGTTCATTTGGAGTAACCTACACGTAGAAAGTGACTTTCCATCTTTGTAATATATTCCTACTAATGAATAGACAACGTATGAAAAAAATCGCGTTCTGGTCATTTCGCTAAATGCATATTAAGCGCCTATTCCGTATTTGTACGCTTTTTTTTTTTAATATAAATCAAAACATTTATTACATAACAATGCAATACGACTATAAATGATGTATATGTTCTTCTTTTGTATTATGTTGCAGGTCGGGCAAGAGGATTAGCTCGAACGCTCTCGCCAGGTAAATAAATTGACAATTTCTTATGGACAATACACAAAACATAATCATCCCTTATTACAAAGAAACGCACAATATGTGTTAATAATAATTTTAAGACATATCATTTTTTATAAATATATGTTTATCTTTAGTGAACTTTACCGAAGCTCGAGTTTCAATTCGTCTGGGCGCAGTTCCATTTGTGACACTCCGGACGATGTATATTCGGACACGTCCATCGAAGAGGACGTTCACGACCTCAACAATAAGGTACAATGCCTATATTATTATTTGCCAACCTTTTTTTTACGGCTATCCTAGAAATCTTGACAATTAACTGGGTAGAAAACTTTTGAAAGTGATATTTTGGTCAATATACTTAACTTTCTAGCGTTTATAAAGAAAAAACGTGTTAGGTAGGTCTTAGTGACATAAGCGGTTGGAATAATACTAAACACCATTTTACTTTTCACCATGGTCATATGGATAATAAACGATAGGTTTTTCATAATATAATAGTAAATTTTTTTATTAAAAGTGTGAAACTACACTAATTTATTTTACGTTCTCTATTCCTTAAATGATACTCACCCGCTACTTAGCTCTAATGTGGATATTGACCGACTGCCTTTCGCATCAAACCTGTTAAACCATGTTAATTAACAGTTGGTTGATGAAATTTGAATCATCATTGTAGTACATAAAAATAAAAATTAGTGATTTAAATATTAAAAAGTACATACAAATATCAATAACGCCACACGATCGCGAAGGTTCGGTTAATAATTTTTTGGGTGTAAAGACTTAACCCTCACGATTGTTTTACCTCTTGGTCAATTTGTTTTAAAAGTATAATATACCTCTCAAAGACAATAGTTTTATAGGTCAGTATAGGATAGGTACGCTATTTTTGTTTCGCTTCCGAAGTATGTTTTTTGACAATGTTATGATTTTATATATTTTTTTGAAATTGTGACGTTTTCTTCTAGTATTTGCTTTATTCCACAAACAGTGTCGACCGGACAAATCCGCTCTCTCACATCTACCTACTTCTTTGATCCGCCTTTATCCCTAAATCCATCAACCGTGACCTGTCTACTATTTCACTATTATTGTACAATAATTATAATTATAATTCGGAGGAGAAAAACTTATTTTTATTAGTTTTGTTAGCTTTTGCGTTAAAATATACTACCTACCGTAGACTTTCTCAAAATAATATATATAAAAAAAATATTAGGTAAAAGAATTTATAAAAAATAATGTGTACGTTCTGTTTTGTTAACGACAGTATAAATCAAATCTGTACTATTATACTTTATGAAGCTTTCAATCTGTATGCTTTTCTTAAAAATGTTGATAAGAGTGAGACTTGTCTAGATTCCTTTTTTTTTTGTGTGAAGTCTACTGTTCAACTACATTTTTAAAATATCTACTCGATGTGGTAGGATTCATATGAATAATACAACGAGAAGAAGCATTTAAAAATTGATATATTTCATTTAAAGTTATTCATTTTTTCCCTAATAATAGCGTTGGGGATAATACAGATATCGTTTTTTTTTTGTTTATTTATCTAACGCTTTCGAATAGCCAAGCGACATTTCGTCCATTATGTGGGTTACGGCATTCTTTTCGACTGTTGACATTTTGTGTCGACACAGTTTTGAAAGTGGGAGCGGCAGTCTCATTGACGGTTAGTCCTGACTCCTGTAATACATATTCATATTATGTATACGTATACCTATACTTCGCTTAATATTTTGGACAACAATGTGTATAATATAATCGCCATTGAAAACGAGTGCTTGAAATGTGCATCTCGATCACTCGTTATTCAAACAGTCCCTGTTTAAATTGCGTGTTAAGTTTGTCAACTAAACGGTGACGCAAAGTGCTTTCGGGAAAGATCGGTTAGTGGAAAAAACAGTATTGAATATCCTTTGCAAGTACTGCTTACTACTAGTATTTTGATAATACCTACTTCCGGCGAGGGAACGTACATAATTTATTTTTAAAAATATTTATTATCTCTATAGAGTGTTGTTGACGAGCTTGTGACAATAAACTCATTGGCACAACAGCAATGCGGAGGGGATTAACGTTTAATCTTTTTTAATTTATTGGCCCGACTTAAAATAGTACTTTGAACAATTGAACGGCAGAGTGTCGTCGTTGTCGGATAAAGTTGTGTTATTCGATAATATTATAATATAGGAAACGTTATGTACTTATCGGTCGATTGGCGACGAATTCATTGTAATAATAATAATAATAATAATAATTGTGTGTGCGCGAATATTACGCAAGAAGTAATGACCGTATAGTGTTATTACACTGTTTGCCGAAGCAAACGCGTGGGCGCGAAATCGAAGCCGTGCGGTTTGGCCATAGCAGCGTATTTCATGTGTTGAGTTTTGTCATTCGGCCAATATATAAGACACCTATATATATAATATATATTTGTTCATATATACTCGTATGTATATGCATTATAATGTACCTATTTATTTATAAACTAGAACGTATATGAATCATAATGCCGCAACAGTGCGGTCAGTTTAAAGTTCTTTGTTGATAAACTAATCTCACACGCCTTAATAACTATATATTTAAAAAAAAAGGCAAGCGAGAGAGAGAAGGAAATACCGTTTTAATAATTTAATTGATGCTGCCGTGGCTATCAGTTCAGATAAGCAATGGCTGCACACGCACGTCCCGCATCCCGGTAGTCGCCTTTTAATTGTAGTGTTGTCGTTAGCCATGTCCACTAAAAAGGCAGAAAACCTCTTTCTCGAAACCAGCCCCGAGTTGGAATTTGACATGTGGGATGGACAGTTTGAATTTGTCGGTGACGCTTACGCTCCGATAGTTAGTTCCGGCGAACTAGAACTGCCTAAAATTTGCCGTAATCCTCATGTTTTCAAACAGCAAAAAGTAAAGTCCATTTTAGACGTGGAAAAGTTATTTATTATTCCTGTTTGACATTTTTATAATTATGCTCGTTTCTTTTCCAAGGTACAAGTGTTGCAGAAACAGATGAATGCATTAGCGGACAATCAGAGTTTAACGGACGAACGATATGCGCGCACCAAAGAAGAAAATGCAGCGTTACAAGCTCGGGTTCATATGCTTGAAGAGCAGCTACGTGATACCGAACTCAGATACGAAGAGAGACTTGCGTCGGAGGAACGAAGACATAGAGAACTGGTCACACGAGTTGACAGGGAAAAACAATTGCATATTGATAACTGTGCCATAAGGTAAATAATATAACAAAATACAGGTTTATTTGGTCTCACAATGAAACAAATGTAAACATATTTAATCCATTTACTAGACTTCAAAATATTGAGGCGGCTAATGAAAATATGCGACAAGAGGCTGAAAAATGTAAATTAATGTTAGAAACAACAAGGAACGAAAAAATCGTTCTAGAACAGCGTGTGGGAGACCTTAACATCAGTTTGCAGTCTTTTAGAGATGAAATTCACATTTTAGAAGCCGAACTAAGAAAACAAAAACAACGAGTGAGAGAAAATGAAGAGGTCTGTTTTTATTGTAATTTATTTATTTATTTTGTCAGTTATTGACTTTTTACGTTATTAAACATAGATTATAGAAGGCTTGACTAAAGAATTAGAAGCATCTAGATTAGAAAAAGAAGCTATGGTCACTAAACTTCATTCCCCATCACCGTACGTAACCGAACTGACTGCTCAATTAGAGTCGTTAAAACATCAGAATCGTTGTAAGTATCATTAATCGACTATATGTTTATTAGAATGTATAAAAAGCACAATGAATTATTTATAGCGTTAAAAGACTCGTATGATGAGTTACAAGCATCTTCAATAGCCAAAGGTATTGAACGAGGAAGAATGTTGTTAACCGAATCTCCGAGCCTAGCATCTGAGCTCGATGGATTGACTCATGAAGATGTAAGTTTTTTTTTTCTAGTATAACTTCATACACATTATACTATTATTGTTAGTTGAAACTTAATTATAATTATTTGTTACACTCACCAATAACTAATGCGTTTCAAAAAATAACATTTATAATATTGATGAATAATTATTTAATAAACAAACAAAAACGAAATTTTGCATACCAGAGTAGTAATTTTACACTTAAATTTTTTTTTTTGCTCATTTTCACAGCACAGTCCCTCGTCTTTGCAAATAAATAAGGTAATTTTATTGTTTTTTGACCTATTAATGTTTTATAATCATTAGCGGTTGGAATTGACTAACACAAAAATAATGTTTGCATTTCATAATTGTTTGACTTCAGTTTATTATTATTTATCGGTGTAGGTTACATAAATTGTTGTAACGTATGTTGCAACTTGACTTACAATTGCTTTTTTTTCCTATAAACAAATAAATAAATTAACAGCATCATTAATTAATAAATCTTTAATCGTCAAAAAAAATGTATTTTTTATTCATATTATTAAATATGAGTTTTTACAATATGGGTAATAAAAATTGGCCGAGTGTTCTTTACAACATTATCTTTCTTATCTTCAGTAGTACATCATCGAAATAATAGCACATAAACATTGGTTTGATTAAATTTTATCTTTTTTACATTTTTATTATAATTAATTATATACGATCTATGGTCATAAGGTGATTGCTCAATGATAATTTGTATTATGGATATGTGTTCATGTAATACACAATAATTTGCTTTGTATTGATTTTGCATGTGCACCAACTAATATATTTATTCTATAGAGTAACAATTGTTCTACTTCCTGTTATAACTGTATTAAATAAAAAGTTATTAAGAAGACGTTTTACATTGCTTTTATTAAAAATTTGCAATGTAAATTTTTAAAATTCATAGGGTCTTTTTTTCATGTTAAATAATTAAGCTAAAAACTATTTATATACTAGTTTAGGAAAATAGTACATTGTATAATTCTATTTTATATTATTCATATTAGGGAAATAAAATAAGAAAATTATTATCAATCTGCATTGTCAAAAGTGAAAATATAAATTTTAATAATTTAATAACAGTAACTAGGTGATTACCCATAGATTTATGAAAATACGTAAATGTTGAATTTTTAGCATTAAACTGTTTTTGTTCATTAATTGCTGTATACATTGTTAGTAAAGTAGTTCAACGTCATCTTAAAAACATGTACTGACTTAATTAATAAAAGTGTTTGATTGTGCCAATCCTGTGTTGGCCAGGATTTATACTAAAGACCAGTGGTGTAATCGTAAAGGTACATTGTGTGTACTTGCCTTCCATTTTTCTATGTACGCATTTACTCTATCCGTTGATACACAACTTTTGTAATGATGCACTCGTACATAGAAAAAAAAAATATTGTAAAATCAAAGTTTTCTCAGCTTCACATTGAAGCTAATAATTTTGAAAGGTACACACAAAATGTACGCTTTTGACTGATCCACTGCTCAAGTCAATTATAATTAAATTAATGTTTTATCATTTAATAATAAATAATATATATTTTTTAATTTACAAGTTTTATATGAATTTTTGTTGTTGTCTAGATGAAAAGCGCTCTTAAGGATCAACAAGAAGTAAACGATCAGCTTCGTGCTTATATCGACAATATTTTATTGAATATTGTTGAAAATCACCCAGAATTATTAGAAGTTAAGCAAAATTTGTAACAACATAAATTACGTTCCTATGTGGTGGAATCCTCTCAATGTTTGTTTCTTTGAAATTAATTTTTTGTTTCAGTATTTTGTGTTAAAATATTTTCATTGTGATGCGAGTTATCTACCTATTATTTATTATTTTGTCCCCACCTTTTTCTCAAATTCTAATAAAACAATTTTAGAAAAAATGTTTATTTTATTTTATTAAATGATATTATACTGTACATAATTATTATATGAAAAAAAGGTGAGATAACCATTTTCTATATTTTAAAGAGATGATAGATTATTTGTATGATAATAATATCCGTCCGTCCAGTTGTATATTTATATTAAGATGTTGTCTAATTTTACAAATGCATTTTTATTGTAAACTTTTTGTTTTAGTTTTTGTTTTAAAGATATTGTAATATTTACTAAATAATCCGTTATACTATTATTAATATTATTTTATAACAATGGATTATTAATATATAGTTATTTACTGTTATCTATATAAAACAGACTGTGATGCGGTATCATATTTAGCCGATTTTATAAAATTGAGTCTTGTGCCAGATTCACTATCAATATAACAGTATTTTTATAATAAAATCAAGTGTTTTTTTTTCCTTTCAGATACCAAATATGTTTTGATTGAATTTATTTTTGTAATATTTGACTACATAGGTCATAATGAGTATATTAATGTCTAATAGTGATGATCAAACAATAATTTATAAAAGCCATTTTCAGTAAATAATTGTTTAAATGCATATCACATATTTTAACCAAATCTTTGTCCACTTTATTAACAATAATAAGCAATAATAAAAGAATAATATAATTTACAAAATTAATTTCTTATATTGGGTTATACACAATTTATCATACAGACATTAATATGACACCAGTCATAATGGAAAGCGTACCACAAGCCCACAGGAATGAGCAGTGCTCTGCAAATAACAAAACTCCAGTGATAGCCTGAAATATATATTTATTAATGTAAAAATACTAGAATGTTATCTGAGTTAAGAATTATTCGATTAGTTTTTTATCGAGATAAAGAAATACAAATTTATCTTTTATTTAATATTTTATTTTTAATTACTTGATTATTTATGACAAAATTATTTATTCAGTATTTTGTTTTAAATTATGAGTTATTTAATATTTAAGAATATTTTTTTAATTTGTTGTTTTTATTTTTATGGGACCAGGCGAATAAGAAGATTATTTGGTTGAATGTTTAAATAATATTTTAAGGAAAATTTGTCTAAAATTTCTATCACAAATAATAATGCAGAATTTGAGTAAATATAATGCTATGTTAAATCAAGGTTCAAGATTGTTTAACATTGAAACCTTAATTTAATTTTGTTTAAACTAAAGAAGTGATTGAAAAATTTATTTATAATAAATAAATACAAATTTTAACATAATAATGATTTTAGGTTGAGGGTCAACCATAAAAATTTGTGAATTTTATCAAGACCTTTTTTGTGTCTCGCTAAATGCGTAACTATGTTACTATGTTTACAAATTAACTAACGATGATAAAAAACAATCTCGATTAATATATTACACTCATTTTTTTATTTGCTTACTGAAGTTATTTATTTACAACAATCCCTAAAAACATTATTATGGTTTAGGCAATTGCATGTGGTCTGTATTTAAGGAGTTTTCTATAGAGCCTAATAGGCAATATTAAGAAAAAAAAGCTGTGTGAGTCACGGGACCCCGGCAGAAGCTATGCTTAGAATTTAGAGTATGTGAATCATACGGTTACTATGGTTACAAACCAATTTTTTATTTTGGGTTAGCACCCAAAAATAAACGAATTCGTATTCGTATTTTAAGTACAAAATTTGTGTTTGATGCTACTCTTAGGGGTGGAATTTTCAAAAAAAACTATGCCAGAAACCTTTGAAGGAGAGTACTTAACAACTTCTGAAAATTTCATGGCGATTGGATGAATGGTGTAGTAATGCGTAAAGGACAAACAGACATACGGCTATATAATATGCCCGCGTTACGGTTTTTCTTCGTTAACCCCCCGCGCCCAGGCGTCCCATAAGAAAAGTAGCTTCAAAACATGTTTAAATAAAATTCGAGCATGACAATTAATTTACCGGTTAATTTGTATAAGCTTCAATTATATAGTTTTTAATTTAAGTAGCTTTTTTATGAATTAATGCCATTTTGGTTTATTTTAAATCAAAAAGTCAGACAAAATTTCGACTGCACAGGATCGTCCAATTTCAATTCTGTTAAGAGATTTGAGTTCTGTGGCTACTTTACTATGCTATGTAGAAAGCCGATTTTCATTGGAAAATTTCAGTTTCTTGTAACTAAATAAATTAAATTTACAATTTTTTCAATATTGAAACCCAATTTTTCACATAAAAAATGTGTTCCCTACATAACCTTTACATAAGTAAAGTTTCCAAAGAACTCGTATATCTTTACAGTATTTAAATCAGACCATCCTAGATAGTCGTAATTTTGTCTGGCTTCTTGCCTCTTGGTCTAAAACGTCAAAGAAACAGACTGCATCCCATTAAGACAAAAAAAAGTTAACATTTAAGTTATTTTTTTATTTAAAATAAAAAAAGTTATTTTATATAAATGATAAACAGATTATCTATTAGTTATCAAGTTATAAACAAATTTATTCAAAAGTAAACATTTTTTAATTATTCAATTTAAATTTTATCTAGCAATGATAATAAACCATAATAGTATATGTTGCAGTACTCTTCTTAAAAAAGAATAAAGAATTTATCAGTATTTAAAACCGCAGGTCAATTTATTTTATTGGTACAGTTTATACTTTGGGTGCCGGTATCTTTTGTTATAAAACATGCTCCATGGAAATAGGGATCCTGGGCTCTTATTGTTGAATTGTTTTTTTTATTTATTTTTTATTCTAGCATTTATAATATTTGCTACATTGGCTATTTAGAAAATTATAGATTCTGAAGCTATAATTACCACTTTACCTCTTAAAAATACTAAAGTAAATTCTGTTAATAAATTATATTTACCGTAAAAATGTAATTAGATGCTATACTAATACCAGTAGCAACGAGAGTTGACCCAAACTGCAGAGACTTTGTGTACATTAGCCAGACACCGATATTGGACAACACAACCAATCCCAACATAAATACCCTAGCCAAATTGATATATGTTACCTGAAAAAATGAAAATCACATTATTTTTCATTTTTATACAAAACAAATAGGGTGTAGATACATGAAAAATATTCTTTTAGAAAATTAACTTTATGCATGGCATTTCATGTATGTGACAACGAAGAAGTAATGAGAATATACCCACATTTTTTATATCAAAATATATAAAACCCCATTTCAAGGTTTCTGGTGGGTAGTCATCAAATTTTAAATTTGACGCAAGTTTATCGTTTTCGTTTAATTTTGACGGCCATTAATGACGAAGAAAATGTAAACAAACATACTTACTTGATCATCGTAAAATAATTTGTCGATTCCCATGCCAATTTTACCAAATAAGCCTGCTGATGAACCACATATTCCTGCAAAAGCTGCATATAAAATTAACTTCAACCGGGCCATTGCTGTTATCATTTACAGCTAAGCGAACGGTATATTTATATTATTATAATGTTGACTGTGATAAAATTGTGATAAGCGACGCGGCGATTATTTTCTTATCATCATAAAACTTATCAAGAAATCCAAGATCCTTTTCCTCTTTAGAAAACTTCCAAAATTTCTTTTTAATTTTATAGTTAAATTATATATTTTAAATACTACATGGTAGATTAGGTTAGGTGTAATAACTAATTACAAATAACTGGAATTGCGGACACTTAAGTGTTATTATAGTAACAAATACTTTTGTGTTATTAATTAAATAATTATACGGTATACCTATCAAACACTCGAAACATTTTATTGCGCGTAACCTTGACGACAAATGGATGAACTTAAAAACTGTTGTCATTACTTAAAAATATTAAATATATTTTATGAAATATGCATGTCCTGCAGTATAATTACAGTTAGGTATTGTTTTTACAGTATTTCTAACATGGCTCTGTAGAATAGTTAACGGATTTTACTTTCTTCTATACGTAGGTACTTACAAAATATAACATGAACACTGTAGCCAACGTAAGTATATATTTTCTTATGAGGCTTATCCCTACCTATTTTGCCTTTTTTTATAATTACTTTAAATACAGACATAGTATACATTAGGTGCTATTTTATACACAAATTGGACAATACATACCACCTTATACTTCCATACCTATCTACCTGTTTCTATTTCTTTTCTTTTGTCAGTTTTAGTTATAGATTTTTCAAGAAAAAAATCGTTCACCTTAATTATAGGTACCAACCGGCCATCCCGCCGATCCCGGTCCTAACCCCGTCTTCTTTAATGACCTTAGATACTGTCTTACTTATTTAATAGTCGTTATGATATTTTTATAACAATTAATAGAATCACGATCAAGCGTTGGTTAACAGAGACAAAAAAAAAGCGGAAGCGTATTTAAAAACTAAAAACGTGAAAAAGTTGATTTACCATTTGACGACTAAACTATTAGTGAACAAACCATACAACCCAGTTAATTATACAATTCTCCAACTAGAAGAACTGATTAATTTTCGTAAAAATCAAAGCAATCCTCCAGTTTTGTACAATGACGAACAATTAGCAGGTATTTTTAATAACATGGACATAATGAAAACCGGATCTCTCGATTTGGAACAATACATTTGTGGTAAGGCTAAAAACTTTAATACGTTGCACAATAGGTCAATTATTACTGGTTTTTCGTGGCCAAAAGAATTTTTTTTTTAAATCGCTTAGCTAATAAGTTTAATAATATACTTTTACTTTTTTCTAGCCTATGGCAACCTATTCCATAACTCATGTGTTCCTCGAGACATTACTCTCACTACCGACCCTTTATACCCTAATCTAATTCTATAATACTAGTTACTTTTCTCACCATTAAGACATCTTCTCCATTCAAACATTTCTTATATTCCTTTCCCAGATAATCCTCTTCGTCGGCTAAAACGAAATTGGCCACGCAACCTCCTAAATAATTAAAAAAGAAAAAAAAACATAATCAAATATTTAATGTAGTGTCATAATATACTTTCATTAGCTAGATAAAAATGTATAATTTAATATTATAGATAATAGGTAGATGTTCTTAATAAATATCCTACAAAAATGTACCTCGTAAAATAAACAGGTTTTTTTTGTAAAAAAAATAATAATTAAATATCTATAGACTATATAACAGTATATAACTGTATTATGTATAATGTAGTTATGAAAATGTTGGGATTAAATGAAGGAGATTTCAATACAGATCCTGAGAGGGACTCAAACAATCACATTGATCGAAAAACATTTATGCGTGAGGCGTAAGTGTAATTTTTTTTTTTTTATTATTTTTTAGTTTTTATTGTTACGCATTTCATAAACAATAGAAAATATTTTGGTATAATGTTTTTAAAATGGGTATTATTTTTTAAATCACGTGACACAGATTTTCCATAGACCTATAAAGAAATGGATTAGGCCTCCCATAATCCCCGCCTATACCGCCGCGGAGTCAACACCAATACTCAATAGAATTAAATTTAACAAAATTAAATAATTTAGTAATCGAAGCTGTAAAGTATTTGAGTGGAAGTATTTAAGTAAATATATATTAACTCTTTTTCGGGTATCAAATACTTTTGTATGACGTTTTGACGATAAATTAACACTACAACTTATTTCAGATTCCAATTACAGATTGTAATTATTTCTGATAGCTGTTATGGAGTTGCGGTTACCGTTTTATTATAGATTAACGACGTTATGTTGTTTTTGATTTATCTTTTTAAGTGAAACGTAAAGAAAAAATAGTTTGATGTTCATTGATTTTCGAAACTCAGTTAATGGAAAATAGCTTAGCTTAATCTTATCAAACACTATTTATCATATTTTACTACATATCTATTTAAATGTATATTCAGCTTATCTTTTGTTTTAGGAAATTTGCGTGCATAAAACAGATAACTACGATGCTTTAAAAGCTGAACAATTGAAACTTGTGTATAAACGATGAAAATATAATTGTTGAAATATCAAAAACGGGTTTTTTCTGTAATTTTAGACTAGCTGATACACCTACCCAGCTTACATACCTACCAGGTTTCATCCTTTACTACAAAGTGTAATAATGTTAAAAAACATTTGCCAATCCAAAAAATAATGTATATTTTTATAAAGATTTAAAAATATTCAAACATTTACAACAGTGCCAAACAATTACCTCTATATGAAATTTATTTTTTAATGTTTATACTGAAAATGAACTATTAAAGCCATTAAATCTAAATGCTGCATAACCACAATACTCTAGTAATCGAAACTTGAGAATTAATTTTTATATTAAATAACAGAACGTGTTGAGTGAATATAACTATAGAAATTGAATTGCTTAGCCCTTACTGCTTACTTTTAAAGGGAATTGGATGATGTTCTAGTAGGTATCTAGAATCTATTTCCAATTAGAATTTAAGTTATAATTACATGTTTATTTGCAAGTATTATTAAAAGTAAAATATGCTATTATAGCATAGTTACCTTAGACATGTTATAACATACGCTAGTGAAACTTGGCCATTGACCAAAAGAAATAGTGGGGGGACTGGTCACTTTTGTTTAAAAATAAGATCTTGTGAATTTGTTTACAACAATTTTTAAACTTTTTTTAAACGTGTCCTAATACTTAACTTTTTTGGATCCTCGTACACTAAATTGATGTACTACCTAACATTGTTTGCTTAACGATCGGTAGATATTAAATATTTTATATAATTATTTATGCTAATTGAAATGCACAAGTACTCTTTATTTTGTTTTATTATTAATCGATATTTTATCATTTATCAAGTTTACTCAATGGTATTACAATGGACATTTTTCGTTATTATTTTCTTTTTTGAAAAAGTCTATAAAAAAAGTACAATAAATATAATATGTCCTTAAATTATACCAAGGTTCATTTATTGGAATTTCTATAGTTTTTTTTATTTTGGAATAATTACACAACCACAAATTACATGTAAATATTTGATTATTTTAGTATGACAAAAATTATTTTTTAACTTCGATATGAAGCTGATAAGGTATTATTTTATCATATTGCAGTTTTTTCTACTGTCTACTAGATTGCTTGGTTAGATAGATTTCATAACAAATGAATAATTTTAGTATTACCTATATTACTATGTATACAAATATTTTATAAATAAAAATACATTACTACAACGTTTAAACCAATGATAATTTTACTCATTGTTTTTTCCCATAATTATACTATTGTTATAGACTATTCATACAAATCATATAGAAATAAACAATGGGATTTTTTACATAACATGGCTCTAGTACTACTTTATCTCACTGCTAGTACTCGTTAATATAATTCATAAATAGTCGAAACAACGTGTACCGCTTTTGTTCTTATGAAAATAAATTATATTAAAAAGTTAGAGTAGGATATTGTGTACTTAGTAGTACTCTGCTACTTTGGGCTTGTAAAATAGTTTATACTTGGATTTTGGTTCGTCATTTTCTTGTAGACACAGCAAACCGAATAGAATCAAATAAGATGGATTACATTTATATAGTACATTGCTTTGTTATATTTTTGCCAATCACTTTTACGGTATTACTACAGCACCTTACAACATCAGAGGTAATTTTACGGAAATACTAAGTACTATAATTCTTGTTCTATAAACATAATTGAATCGGTCATTTCAAAAATGATATAAGTCACACAACTGACATTTTACACTAGCCATAAAAAAGAAAAACTTAATTAATCTTTTACATAATACCTAAATTTTCTAAGCAACTAAAAATGTATAATAGTACATATTTATAGGAATATGTTAATAAAAATATGTACCGCATTAATTTTGTTTTTATGTTTATTTTTTGGTTTACTTGACATTTTATTGGTATATGATCTGACTATATGTACGTATCATTAAACTATTATTTTTAGTTAATTATAATAGTTTTTAGTTAATCTTATTTTTGTGACCCCATCGATATAGGCATGCCATATATTTTTTAACTACAGTAATATTATGTTTTGCATTTTACTCAAAACTCACTTTTTTATCACTTTTTACAATGAGCAGGAGTTACTGTGGCATAATTCTCCATCTAGTCCAAAGGGGCACTGTATTTTACTGGTGTATACAATAATTGTATATATGAATACCGAATTTGACAAAAAGTCATGTCGTTTTTGAAATAATTGATTCCATTACTAAAAATTAAATGGTGTAATAATATTTTAAAACTATAATTGTAGTCACCCTTAACATTTCTTCAACCAATAAGACATGAAGCTCGTTTTAACTATTTTAATTTGACAGTTAACAAAATGTATGGACACTCGATAGCAAATGAGATTGTAGAATATTCTAGTACACAATATCTCAACTTCCATTATATTTTGAAAAAAAAAGCAATAGTGGATCATGTAAGTAAAATATAGTCTTAAATATCACATTTATATATTTTTTGTAAATGATGAGTAAAAAAAATAGATCATATTACTTACTTGTTTACCTAGAATAATTACTTATTATTTATTTTATATACTCAAAATGCTGCCAGTATAAAGTATCATTACGTTGTCGTTTTTTGGAACAAATCTACTTTACCGGGCACCCTTTTTTCGATTTTCTTTTTACAAATCGATAGTACTTGTAATGCTGATTACGAATCTGCAAGATTTTTTTTGCTGGACGAACTTAGTTTGGGAGTTATAGACATTTGAACATCCCCAAAATCGACATACGCAAACACCCGTTGGTACACAGCTACACTTTTTTTTTCGATTTTATATAATCGCTTTCATACAAAGGTATTACGGCAAAAATAAAAAGAGCATTTTTCAGCCGAGTCTGCAACCACGAAAGAGTATTTTCATGTCTCGTTTAAGTACCGAATAAATTTAGAGAAGTGGTGGAATAATAGATAATGAAATAGTATATTAAAATTTACCAAGCAGTAACAAGCTAGTATCTAAGGTTAATATTTTAGTGTTTAATATCTGGCATAAAACTATTCATAAAAATATGATCTCTTAAATTATTGAATTCATTTTAGTTCAGTTCTAGTTTGAACGTTGTGAATACAACATATATGAAAAAATCACAAACCCTTTCCCCTTAAGGGATGGACATTTTTTTGTTTATTTCGCTTTTTCAGGTGATATTTTAGGACTTAAAGTCTAAAAATGAGACCGAAAATAGTTCTAGAATGGGGCTATAACAAACAATTTTCTTAAGAATTTGTAGTCAAACTTTTTTATTATAAGGAAAAACCAAAAATAAAGAGAAAGTTCCACTTTGACCGCAGTCAATTTCTATGTTTCTATGTGTGGGTGGACCAACAGTCAACAGGTTAATAACGACAACATCGTTTATCCATAACGTTCTGTCGCAGCCAAAACCTATAATTTTTTTTTAATAGGTTTACTTAGTAAGGTTACTTATAACAAATCTTAGTCATGTTTTATTTGTACCTATTACCTATTAACTCTGTATGCAAATTTAAATTTCCTTTAATCCATATACTTATATACTGATATTTCAGGTAATATTCGAAGCTATAGAATGCAAAGAATATTATATTGATTGTGTAAACGTTAGAACGTTTGAATTAACAAACATGTGTAACAACATGAAAACACTGACAATGTTCGTAAAATTTAGATACCAGAAACAAGAAGCAAAATGTCCACTTGAGGTAAGGCAAATGAAATATTGTGCCTTTTTTTAAATATCAAATTGACGATAAAAAAAAGTGGTGAGAACCAAAAGGTTTAAGTGTTATTTATTTCAAAAATAGGTTTTTGATCTTAAATTATATTTTTCCAATGAGAAATTGTTTTATAATTAAAAGATATATTGGAGAAAACAATAGAAACCATATTAAAAGTATAATTTTTATTTTGCTTTCTTGTAAAATGGTGTGAAAGTTTATTAAACCATAAATTAAATATACACTAGATAGGCAGCGTGCATAATAAGAATCATTTGCAGCTCACATATTGGACAATGTACATAAAAATAATATGTTTTTGCCGTCACGAAGAGTGCCAAATGTGGCGTATCTAATACCGATGCAGTATAAGGTAGAGAACATATTACATAGAAATAACCCCGTAAATTTTAAAAAGTATAAATTTATTCACACAAAGTTGTTGATCTACTTATTTATTTATTTAATCTATGCTTATCCTTTTGGTTCTTCTAACTTCAAATATGATAGTGATCTAATTTATTTTGCCACTTGTTCTACGTCCGTCGTCTATCTTTATACCCGTAAATTAGTTTTAACGAAGGATAAAAGTTATAATTGTATTTTATATGTTTACAGGGTGAATACGTTTATATAAATACTTCACTCGACTTCGGAAAAATAGCACCAATATTTGTATCGTCAATAAACAACTTGTGGGAACGCACCTTAAAAATGTCTGCCCATCTTTACGATCCCAACAATGAGCTTATCCTTGGGTGTACTTTACATAATTACTTTTTAAGCTTTAGAAATAAAAAACGTATTGGAAACAAAAACATTAATTATAAACTAAACTGATGTGCTCAACATTATTATACATAGACACATAGTAATTATAATATAAAAACCCAGCACGGGAAAAATATAATTTGTTGATGTACTTATATTCATGTTTTGTTAAATAGAAGCATATTTTAAATTAATTATTTAGATTACTCATATAATTAATTTAGCATTTTTAATTCTGAATCAAAATCCTCTAGGAATGACATTTAGAGATATTAATTAATTTCACTATACGATACGCGTTGCTGGTGTACATTTACGGTAAATAAGAATATGTCATTTTTAATATAATATATATTGAATTAAGGCTATTGGGTACCGGCCAATTTTTAAGAAGTTTTGTATAGGCAATATTTAAGAACAAAGTGGTTTTAATCAATTTCACCATGGGTAGTTTTTGACGGAAAAATTGGCCTGTACCCAATAGCCTTAGTTTTTTAGTTATTTTCATAATGAATTTATAAAGATAATTTTTATCGTAACTTTTCTCTATATCACGTCACAACTGTACATACTGATAAGAAACAAATATATGGACAAATTAAGGTTTTGAGTTTTGAGGAATGAAGTTTGGAAGTTAAACTATCATACGGCGTACCTATATTGATCGTATAATGGTTTCATATAGTTGACACAATTATTTAAATACTCGAATTTTTAAAAATAAATTGTTTGTATCTGAATGTTTGAACTATTAAATATTTATTTCAATTTATATCACAGCATCATAAACAATAGCTGAAAGGGTGCGCTCAATTAAAACAGAATTCTCTATTAAGTATTAACCAATAAAAAAATATAGTAATTACTAATTAATCAGAAGGGTGACCTCAGAGAGAGTTAAACCTTCCTGTTCTCGCTATAAAATACAAAGGAACATTTTTTATGGTATTCATTACAACCCTTAATTAGTTACTTGTGAGGACGCAGTCCGCAGAGTCCTGATTTTGGTAGTACATTACAAGTATTTACTGCAGCCTAGTGCGGTGATATTAAACTATATTTATTTATGTTGTTGATATAGTAGTAAAGTTATAACTCATAAGTAAACCACTAGATCGCAGTCAATTACTGGAAGCAGACGAGTAAGACCGCTTGTTTTGTTTGAGCTGTTGTGTTATGCTAATTGTTGTGTTATGTTTAACAACATACATATTATGGTAACAATATTTATCACAATTATTAATTGCATTCTTGTTATATTTGTAAATTTTAATTTAAAATTTACGGACGAAATCTTTTAACTCAAGTTATATTTTAACTTTTAAGTTAATAACTAGTAAAGGTTTCACAATGTTAGGGTTTAAATTGAAATAAGTACTATTAAATTAAAAAATATGAAATATGTCATATAACTTATAGATTGCATCTAAAATTTAAATCAATAGTCTAATAATTTTAATAATAAATAGTATAATTACAATGAATCTAAAAAAAAATAGCAAAGGTACAGGACCAATTTGTTAAACGACTAAGGTAAATGTTTAATATACTTCTAAATATATATATATATTATATCATGTGCGGTTGATACTTTGGTGAGTAAAAAATAGATCAAATCTAGAGAGATGTGTAAAAGAAAATATCTAGTCAAAAATATTTTTAATGGAAAAACCCCAAAGCTGAACATTATAAATGTAGATTTTGAGTATTTATTTCAACGTCAACCGAAATTGTTTATGGCTGACGAAATGTTTTTCAACTCATACATTTTTAGAAACATGTAATGCTTTGTTTTTTTACAAATAACGTTGCCTTTTACGTCAAACTTTAATAAAACTGTTTCTTTATACTATATAGTTTAAATAACATTTGCTAAATAATATATAATATATATATTAAATTACATTTTTTTGACACATTAAAGTTTCTAAATTTAGTTGCTCGCAAAAATTTGAATAAATGTAAATGTTTTTAAAAAGAAAAACTAAAAATTACAATTATTTTATGAAAACAAGTGTCTTATCCTTAATAAATCATGAATATATAACATTAAATCATATTTGATATATTATACTATTGATTTTTATACCTCTCTTACACAGAAAAAAATATATAGTTGGATCAACTTTTATTTAGTTTTAATTACATTATATATATTTATATAAGGGGTACCGATGAACTGTTTTTGTTTTTACATGAAATGCAATTTTAATAATTTGTGACTGATTTTTTACGGTTTTTGTGGTTTTTTTTTGAGGTTTTTGGTATTATAGATGCCGTATATTCAAATATTTTCAGGTTTTAACTTCTAATGATGGATCATTCACCATGGCCTCAGAAACCTTTAACTTTGATATAAGTCTGTAAAAATAATATGATACTAAATTGTTATTTTCGTAGCACGGTTTCAGATGTTGTGTATAGTTATTCTGCAAAACGTTTACATTTTAGAGTAATTTTTAAAATTCTATTTTGAAAAAGTACGTATTTTAATGAGATTTCCTACAATGAGATTTTCGAGCAATTGATAATTGAAAATTGATAATGACCATAACGCTATTAATCGTTATAATAAACCTACGTGACCGCTGCAAAAATTACAGCAACAATTCTAAAAATATTGCTAAAAAATACACTCAAAGTTTTAAGGATTAATATTAAATAGAATATCGAAGCCACTTTTTTTTTTTTAAAGAACGCTGGGAAAGTTACTTAATTACTTATATTTTTAGGTAAACACGATGTACCTATATCTTGTACCTAAGGTATATGTGGTACCGTTGCCAAAAGCGTGCATGCCATATTAAGACGTGTGTTCCCAAATACTTTGTGTTGTTGGAAAACTAGTTTTTTTAAATAATACAAATGGGTTGTTGTTATTTGGGACAACACAGCAGCAGCGAGCGAGGCGTGTAAGTTCGGCCGAATCGTTTTCGTTTAATTAGTTTAAAATTAAATTATAAATCAAATCCATTATTTAATTGGAAATAAAACAGCGACGGACTGCCAGCAATCTCGGCGGCGGCTGTGGTACAACAACTAATGTGTATGTAAAATAATAACATATTTGTCAGTAGAAATGCATTCCGGATTGTGTTGTATCCATGTATTATTCCCACACGCACACCTATACGTTGTTTTGAAAACGAGGGTGCTACCTAATTTACTTAAATATTCGTACGTTCGATTAATAATGATTTTTCTTAACGTCACGTTGTAATACATTAAAAACGAATACTATTAAAACTTGTAGGTACCCGATATTATTGTATAATATGCTGTATGTAAGGTATATAATACATATCTCTAATATTATGTACCGTATCACGGGTGTATTATAATAGGATAATAAATATTCCGTAGACCGGTGCCCAGGTGTCGTGATGTAGTACAAACGGTTTTATGAACTCTTTTTTTTCAGTTAGGCGTAGGAGGGGAAGTTCATTCGAAATATAACTCGACGGTCACAATGGGCATTTTCTCGAGTTTTATTCTTCTTGGCCGAGCCGTTGATGTTGTTGGTGGTGGCACAAAGACCTCTGGGGTAATGTCGGAACGCATTATAATAATATAACGTATTAAAAAGCGGCACTATTAAAAATCAATAAATATCGTCAGCGCGGGACGCTGTCGGTCAGAGATTGTAAATCATACCGTTCTGTCACCGAAGAGGCGGCGGCGGCGGTCCTGCATGACAATGTCCGCGTTCTTTAATCGGCCGGGCCGAGACACGGTGACGGTCCACCAAGGTGGATGCGAACAGGACAAACATAAATTATAATACAGGAGGAGGTGTGGAAATCGCATTTTTTTACACAAAAATTACGCGTTCAACAAATTACGCTCGCTGCGATGAACCCGTGGATATCGGAGACTACGACCAAAGTAATAATAATAATAATAAAAAAAGATAATATATTTTTTTTCTCACGGCCTTTACGTGACTCATTTGCACCGGCCGACGAATCTTTTCAAAATATGATTTCATTCTTCGTTTGGCCGCGCACACATATCATGTCCGCGGTCTAATGCAAAACCACCCCGCACGAACTATACTTTTAGCGCAATGAGCGTTTATATAATATCATGTACTTACATGTTCAACACACGATGTATGGACGTCCGATCCGAAAAGTGTGATATGTTTCATTTTTTTTTTTTAAAAGCTCATCTTTCTGAAGAAAAGTAAAATGCTTTATTTTTTTGCTAAGAAAAGTGTATAGTGTATAGTAGGGCACAGGAAAATTGTATTTCTTACTAAGCAATAATAACAAATTAATAGGAACGATAAATAGTTTTAACACGCCAGGAATCGCTAACACACCTTAATACTGAAATTTTCCATATTATTTTAAGCCACCAGAACAGTAAAATTGGCTGCACATTCCCGGTATATAATTAGCAGTCTTTATTTAAATGGCTAGAGAAGCGCTTACTTTATTTGTAATAGTAGTGAGTATTTATCTGTGTCAACGCAATAATTGTTTCTATTTTTTTTAGAACAATAAGAGAGTATATTGCCATCTCTCTATCTAGTTTTTAGATTCTAGTCACCCTACTGATTATTATCAGTTATCAATTTGGTTGTGCAATTATCTGAGTTATTATCAAGCGTATCCAAACGATATTAATTTAGGAAATACTTTTATTTGTGTGTTTTTCAATTATTAAAAAGTGTTGTATTTTCACCAATATAAAACTAATCACAAGTTTTTAAGGTCTCTCAAGAATCCGACCATTATCTAAATGTTATATAATTCTACTTGTAGCTCCTAAGGAAACGTTCATATACACCTGTTTTCCATCCAAAATCAAACGTAACATACATATCTTACATGGTACAAAAAAAACAATTACTCTAGTATAAAACATCCTTTAGCATTGGCCTCCCAGCTCGAAAACGACACAAAATAGCGTCATGAAAGTAGCGCGTCTACTTTAAACGTATAATATAACGAGTCGTCGTCGTCGTCATGCAAACGTTTTGGCCAGAACATATAATTAAGACATACTATCGTCATAAATCGCAAGGAGATTATAGCATGGTCCATGTTTTATAATTTTAACCGTTAAGCCGGGTTCACACGACTCGTCTATTCGCCGAATATTCGG